CCCTCCCTCCCTCCCTCCCTCCCGTACTCCATGGTGGAAGCTGCGCAAGAGCGCGCTTCCTGCGACCAGGCCCGGCCTCGCTTCACCGGTTCTGGCTCTCGCCGACCTGGAGAGCCCGCCGCTCCCGCAAGCAAGGCCCGGGGAGCCAAGAGACGCACACTCTGCAGGAACGATGTGATGTGCCGCGTTGAGGTCCCACCTGGGCATGGTGCCATCGACTTGCGGATCTGCACGGGCCGAGCCCCCACTTCTGGCTCTGGATCTCCTGCAGTCTCGGCCTCAGCTTTTGCAAGAAGCCCGCTGCAAGCAGAGCCCGGAGCACCTGTCAAGATTGGGCTCTTCACCGTCCTCGCGAAGTCTTGCACGCCCAGATGTCACCGTTGCGGCGATGCAGTTTCAGCAAGCAGGCAGACTCAAACAAAAAAAGGGGGTTGCGCTACCGCTCTGAGCGCCTCAGAGGCCCACCGACGTCACCGCGAGCGCTCGCCTGCTCGGGCTTGCGGCCCGTGCTGCAGAGCGTGGTCCGCTCCCCCGCTTGTACTCTTTGCAGTCTCTGACGCTTCGTGTTTTTTTTCGAAATGCTCGCCCTTGCCAGGCACATCCTGGAATCACTTCAGCTGTCCTTGAACTCTCCAGTCTGGACTTCCCGCTTTCGTCGCTTGGATGCAGCATCAGGAAAGTTGCACGCTTGCAAGTTTCTGGCTACTCTAGTTAGGTGGGCGCAGAAGGGCTCGCTTGTTGGAAAAACGGCTTTGACAGGTCGCAGCCGGCCATCTGTCCAGGCTTGGCATGGGTTCCGCTGGCTCGGAGAGTTGAAGCCATGAAATGTCGAGTCTTTGCAGGTCCCCCGACCACGGCATCTGGCAAGAACATGCTGGGTTCTTCACTAGTGGCCTCGGACTGCACAAGCCTCGAAAGCTTTCTGCCATTGAAGAGGCCTGGAATGCGCGCAAAGCCAACAGTAGGACGCTGACTCATACCTTGTTGCAGGTCTTCGTGCCTGAGCTCTGCAATTCTTGCTTCTGGTAGCTGTCCTGTCGGCTCCACCATGCCAGCTTTGTCCCACTCTCTGCCGCGGCCTTGAAGCTTGGCGCTGCATGATCTCTGTCTGTCTCTCTCACTCTCTCGCCCTCTCTGCCCCTCTTTCCCGGCATTGGTACCGGTGAGACAGCTTGCATGTGCATGCGAGGTCGGGCTTGTTGCTGCTTCTCCACAGCTTCTCTCGCAGGGAGCTTTAAAAAGCGAAGTCGACGAGAAGATGTGATTGAGCAGCGACCTGTCACTTGCCCCCAGGCCTGGGTCTTTTTACAGCGGTCATGTATAGCTCCATGCCTGGAGCCCGGGCTTAACCCCAAGCCTCGCAAGCACCAAGCCGGGAAATCTCATTTGAGCCTGTGAGGTTGGGCTTGCTCTTGTTGCCGAAGCAGTTTGCCCGCACGGGACTTCTCCTGACTCCTTGTGGCACCGCCCGCTTGGGCTCTGGGTCCGGAGCTCAGGAGCTCAAGCACATCTAAGTTCTAAGGCAGAGGAAGACTTTTGACTTTGGTGTCGGTGAACGACTTAGGCCAGCAGTTCCAGATCTTGTCGGCTTGGGCGCTGTGGGGCGCCGTGAATCGTTTTCGATTCTCTTCTGTGCCTGCAGCAGATTTCCCGACCCAGGTGTTGCTGGCGCAAAGCTGCGGCAGATCAGATTTCAGCCTGCTTGCTACCTATCAACTCCACTGACAGTTAACTATGCATCTGAAGCTCTTGCCAGTTCAAGTCCGGTCAATCTGTAGCCTGGATATCAAGGCCGGTGTCTGGCTATGCTTGCCTTGATGTGTCTCTGCTGGTCGGATGCTCGAAGCCGTGCCGGTTCAGTGCGTCAGCAATCGTGCTTCTCTGCCCGAGGCGTGTGACTTCGGAACTCCTGAAACTCCGCTGATGGCACGATCGCTGGCGCGTCTCTGCGCAGCATTGCCGACGATTGGCGCCTGCCTCATTGCACGTGGGCATGGGTCCTGGACCGGACTGCAGCTATCGCGGCACCCTGCCTTTGATAAGGCTCCAGTTGACTGGAGAAACCGTCGCTGGCTCCGGACTTCGCCAGCCCTGGACCTCCCTCGTTTGCTCAGAACTGCTTCCAACTGGGAGCGACCTTGGCCGCACAGCCGCATTGGTACAGGTATAGAAAGACCCCACAGGTAAGAAGAGAGATGGAGGGAGGCCTTTTGGCTGAAGTCATGGACCTTGTTTTGGAGGGGGTCGGCAGAGGGGCACTGCGCCTTGAGCATGAAGCTAAAACTTTCAGGAGGCGCTGGAATGATGGCCCCCGCTTTGATTTGCGGTGCAAGCACCACACGCAGGTACGGAGGGCAAGAAGCCGGAGCAGCAGCAAAGGAGCCACAGGGGTGGGAGGGACAATCTTGGATAGCTTGTCTACCGCCCAGAAGTGTGATGAAGCGTGCAAGGGCAAGCGCAGTGGAGCTGGGACGGATGGACAGAGGGGAAGGGAAGCGCACGAACGGTGAATCCCCAGCCCGGAGGCCTTCCTTGTAGAGTTTCGAAGTTCTTGCGACAGGAGGCAGAACGGCTTCACATGTTGAGACCCCGAAGCCGTGGCCCCTTCCTGCAAAGTCGTCAGGGGAAGGTCACGCAGAAGCACCCGCCCGGACTGGCCCCAAAGCAAGACAAGGGGTTGAGAGGTTCGCAGACGCACGTGTGAGAATGGAGGTGTGCAGTGTAGTGTAGCCCTAATGTAGGCAGTTGCTCTTCAAACTCCAACAAATAAAGAGAAATGAAAGGGATGACTGCGGAGCGAAAGACAGTGATGGAGTGGATGGAGCGTATTGCTGGTGCTGTGCTTGTTGAATCTCATGTGTTTGAGGTCGTCTTTGGTTTGCTGACGCCTGAGATATCTTCGGCAAACAGCTGAGAAGACGCCAGTGAGTCCGGTGCAGGTCTAGACCAGGTTCGCCGGCCTCAGCCTCCGACTTTCTCAAGGCGAGGCTTCGCTGCTCACTGGGACCGAGATGAGATCGCAACGCTTTTGACAGTTGGACGTGTTGCTGCCACCCCGAGCCGTCTCAAAATTGGAACTTGCCGCGTCCGCCTTCGGTCCAGTGCTTAGTGGGATGCCGTGCTAAAGCAGGGAAGCCCGGTCTGCGAGTGTGCGTTGGTGCACAAGCCCAGGTGTTGGTAAACTGGAACCATTGCTGAGTCCACTAGGCAGGGATTTCGAGATCTCTTGATTCACGTCATGGCACCTCGTCCGTGCTTTCATCAGGATGGGTGTCAATGGAATCCTCTGTGATGCTTCGGAGCCATTCGCGCCCAGCTGCGTCCGCTCCTGCCTCAGTGTTGTGGAGCAGAACGGAGCAGCGGACACCGGTCGCACGGGACCGAGAGCAATTCCTTTGCCTCTCGAGGTGTTTGTGCTAGACCCGGCTTTCCTGAACTCCCCCCTGCTTCCACAAAGCTTGGCTAGGCTGGATGCTCGCAGCGAGTGGCACATGAGAGGTACATGTCAGCTTGTTGAAGGCTGGGCTTTTCTTCCTCTCCGATGGGAAGCACACGAACCGACTTTCTTCCAGCGGTGCCTGCTCGTTCCTGTCTGGCTCCTACCCGGGTACTCACATTCCTTCCTTCGGGTTTTCGCGGATCAAGAGCGAATCAATACGTTGCTCAGGTGCAGACTCATCAATTCCCATCCAGAGCTTGAGTTGGTCGGGGATGCCTGCTTCAGCCGGAAGCCAAAGCGCTGCTGTTGCAGACTGCGTTTTCTGAGCGGCTTGGGGCTCGTGAGGTTCTGGCGCTGGGACACCCTGGAAGCCCTCTGCCTCTTCGAACCCCTGCTTGTCGCACCCTTACATACCCTTAAGGCCTTACTCGAGATGCAGAGCTGACCGCTGGCGTGGCTGGAAATCAGGACCTGCGCCCCTGGTTTTTGTTCTGGGTACTCTCCGACCAGAGAGCCTTGCCCTGGTCTTGGACTTTACCTCGCTGCGGGCTTAGAAGAGGGTCAACAGGCTTTGGCCGGAAAATGCCACCATGCTGCTCTTTTTCCCTGAGGATAGGAACTTCAGCAGTTCTCCAAAGACCGGGCCTCGTTGTGTGAGTAGCACACTGTCCCCAGGCACTGTCCTCTGTCTTCTCAGCCGCTGGATACATGAGGCGCCAGTCGACCCGACTCCCCGCTCTCCGTCTTCTCTTCGCTTTGCCTGGGCCCACTGCCGCTTCTCCACAGAATGTCCCGCCAGAGCCTCAGACCTGGCGGGCTCTCCTGCAAGTTTCCCGGGCCCACCTCATGACGTCGAAGCTTTCAGCCCTCGCAGCGATAGGTTCTAAGCTGACAGGCCCCCCCGTTATGTGCATCCTCGTGCATGCCAGACTAGTGCCTTCGTGGGGCGCCCCCGAAATGCAACACACTCGACGGCTCGACCCGATGTCCAAGGTCCGGGCTCGGCCGTTGCAGTGCCGGGGATTGGTCGGCTCGAGCAAATCTCTGTGCTGGACGGGGTTGGAAAGCGACCAGAGCCATGATGAAGTTCAGATCCATAGTTCGATGCGAGGACTTCACCAACTCGGAGCTTCCTCTGCTCCCACAGGCTCGAGCTCCCCAATGCAGCATTGGGCCTGCAGCACTGCAGTCTCTCTCTTGCAGGGCCTGGCTCACCCAGACTTCTTCCTGCTAGCCATGGGCCTGGCCCGCCCTGGCTCTGCAGCGGTGGCTCCGGTGCCTTCGTCAGAGAGTCTTGCCTCTGGCGATTCAGTGTTACTCTGCGGAGCCAAGGATTCCACGTCTGCGGGCAGCAGTGTGCTTCTGACGACTGAGCTGAATAGACTTAATCGACTGGTCGTTGAGTCTTTCATCGCCACGATGCTTATTCCGATTTCAGCTTGAGACACGTGCCTCTGGGAACAAAGCATCTGGCCAAGGAGAGAATCTGCACGCTCGGAATTATCTCTGCTGGTGGCTGGTGTGGCGCGGTCGGGGCCGGTACCACCAGCTTGTGACGTCGGACATCCAGGACCGCTGCAGCCCTTCGGTGCTTTTGCACATCGCACCAAACTGTAACGAGGACCGGCACCCTCGCCACGCTCCATGGGGCACTCAGACCTCCCTCTCCCTGCACTTGGCCTGGTCCGAGTGGGGCCGTCTCCTCCAACCGCAGACAGTCTCTCGTTTGACCCAGCCCTACTGCTGCGCAGCATGCGGCTCGGCTTCAGCCGTATAGAATGACAGAGCCTTTTGCTTGCTGCCTTGAGCTGGCACAAGTAGGAACCCAGCCCAGTTCGGAGCAAGGGAGAAGCAGAGAAAGTCTTAAGGTTGAGACTGGGTTCGGCTCCCTCGGCCCCCGGCGCTTCTTGGCCCGGGCTTTCACCGTCGGCGTCTCGAATCCATCGGCTTGCGGTTGTGTGACTTCGACTCGAAAGACTCCCGGGCCCCGCCGAGGTCCGTGATTGGCATCATGAGTGCCGAGTCTCCGCTGTTGGCGCGCAGTCTTGCCAGGTGGTGATGGGTGCAGGGCAGATGAGGGATGGTGACATTCCCGTCGCGAGGTTGGAGACAGCTCCAATGGCACTGGACTTGGTGCAGGCCGGATCGTCAGAAAAGAGGAGAGCTAAGAGTCATCTGTGAGTTCGGCGGTGGTGCCATGGGTGGGGAATTTGGCGACAGGTCGGCTTGTCAATGATGCTCCGCGGATCCGACAGACCGGGAACAACAACTCTTGCTGTTGCCGGTGCACGATTGGAGCCATTTCTATCTGCCTTGGATTTTTTGCACTCGGAGTCCTTGCTCTTCCCGCGGCGATCTGGGTGTCCAGACCCTTCTTTCTCGGTGCCAAGTGTGCTGCGTGCTGATTTGCCAGTAGTGCTGTTTGGCACATTCGTCACAGGAACCTTGGCTTCACTGCGGCAGCTCGCTTGCCTTGGACTTTTCTTGGCTGCCCCCGGTGTTGCTAGACCGAGTGCATCTGCTTCGCCCCTCGATTCTGTGAGCATGGGGAGCCTGTTACCACTTCGTAGTTTCGTGTGTTCGGGCCCGGCTGCTTTAAGCCTCGATTTCTCACAGCCAGGGCCATTTCCGACGTTGCGTGGCGCAGCATGACCCGGCCTCTTCTTATTTGCTGGGGGATTTCGACTTGGCCTCGTCCTGCCAGCGTTGGATGCCGCACATGGCTGCACGGCGTCTGCAAGGAGCCTTTTCCGATGTGATTTTGCGGTATCGGCTCTGGACTTCTCTTCCTTGGGGTCATGTACACCTCCTCGGATATGCGCTTGCCTTGGCAGCCTTCCGCCTATTTGGGGAGCGGCTTCGATGGGTCCGTTCCTTTCGGTCCCTGACTCTGTCAATCCTGGCAGCACGCTGCTCCTGCGAACGCTCAGCCAGTTGGAGCTCCTTCCACCTCCCTTGGACCCTGCACATGCAGAGGCCACGCTCTCGCTGCGGGCTTCCACGCGGACCGAGGCTTCAGCTCCAACATGTAATTGCTGCCACTCGGGAGTGTTTCCGCTTCTGCGAAGCTACGCGAGGTCAGGTTTTCCTGTCTTCGCTTCGGACTTGTGCGAGGTTGGTTCTTCCACACCTGTGCGAAGTTTTCTGCAGCCAGATTCCGGCACCTCAGCCTCAGACGCAGCCTTCACGGAATCCACACTGTCGGTGCGGAGCCTCCAGCATGCCGGCTCAGCCATTCCAATGGCAGATGTGGCACAGGCCGGACTTCCTACAGCAGCGCGGGCTCTCGCGAGGACAGAGGCTTTCCTGTTGACCTTTGGACTTCACAGGTTGGAGCTGAGCATGGCCGTGTGCGACTTGTGCTTGATTGGCTCCTCGTCATTTATCCAGCGCTTGGCCTGCTCGGGGTTTCGAACCTTGATCCAAGATCGCACAGAACCAGACATGTCCATGCCTGCCTCTGATTTCAGCGACCTTCCATTTCTGCCGCTTCGGTGTTTTTCGCGAGTGGGCTCGCCAATACTTGCCCTCGGTTTCAGTACACCCGGCTCCTTGCCTTCTGCACTCGACTCTCTGCACTTGGGCTCCTCAACGTCCCTGAAGAACATGGCTCAATTAAGCCTGACGCTTTCGCTTCCGGACTCTGCAACTCCGGAAGCTTCACCACCAACGCAATGCCCTTTCCGCTTCGACCTTCTCCCATCACTGACGGGCAGGTTTGTACAGAAAGATGGTGTTTGGAATGTGGGTGACTCTCTTCTCGTGACGAGTTCCACCCGGCCAGACCCTGCGCTTCTAGTTCCTTGCTTTGCACGGTCTGGTTCGACGCTACTCGTGTCAGACAACGTGCTTGCTGGTCTGCTGCCGTTCATGCACAGCTTCTGCAGATGTTCATCCGGCTTGCTGATTATGGGCCATTCTCGCCTTGAAGCGTCGGCCGTTTTGCTAGATCCCGCGAATGCAGGTGCTTTCGTTCCGTTGCGCCAGTTTGCTCACATGGATTCGGCTTTGCCCTCGATGGGCGTCGCGCGCATGGACTTGCCAATCCTCCTGCTAGACCATGCACTAGCTGGAGTCTTGCTTCCTGCGCAGCAGCTTGGATGCCTTGGGCTTTCAGTCTTCGCATGCAGCTTTGCCCGTGCAGGCTTTTTGTCTCCCTTCCTGGAATGGTCTCTCTTAGAGCTGCTCTCAATTGCCCGAAACTTTGCCTGCCCAGGCTTGCCATCACCGGCTCTGCAGGTTTTGCTGCCGGGCCTGCCAATGTTCTCGCGATCCATTGCACAGTCGGAACCGTCGCCCTCCACCAACACCATCAGCAGAACTGAGTCAACGCTACCACTCAGTGACCGTGCGGAAGCTGATGCACCTCCCCCTGCGAGGAGTCTCGGTCGATTGGACAGCCGCTTGTCAGCTTCAGGGCTTTCGTGCACAGGGACATCACATCCGGCTCTGGATCTTCTGCACCTTGACGCCTCGCCATCTCCGCAAAGAGCAGCACGGCCGGACCCGTACATGCCAGTCTTCGGCCACGTGTGTTCGGGTCCCACTGCTTTGCCTTGCGACCGAGGCTGCCCGGCCACCTCCATGTTCTTGCGTAGCGCTTCCAAGTCAGATGCGGCTGCTCCATCAGTGGAGATGGTTTCCTTGGAGACGCCCGCGTCTGTGAAGACTTCTGCAAAGCTTGGTTTAGCCACCTTTGTTGTGTTTCGGGCACGGTGTGGTGCATTTCTGACAACTCTGGATGTGGTGCAGCTGGAATTCCTTCTGCCAGTGCATAGCTTCGCTTGCCCTGCCTTCTGTTCTTTTGTCCTGGACTTTGCGGAATTTGACGCTCCAGTGTCTGCACGGGCACCTACGCGGCCAGCCTCCCCCACGATGACTATCGGAATGGTTTGTATGGAGCTTTCGTTTCCTCTACCTGACCTCGTCCCTCTGAGCGCTTCCATGCCGGCGCATGGCCTCGTGTGTTCGGATCTGGTTCTTCCTGTGCCAGACCCTGTCAGTTCTGAGCCTGCGGTGTTGGTGCGTCAAACAGGCCGGCGCAGTTCATCACTGCCTATATCTTGTGCAGCCCGTTTGGCCGTCTCTGCTTCGACACTGGACTTCTTAGGAACGGAGCTCTTTTCGTCTCTGCAGAACCATGCTTGTCCGGAGCTGCGACTGTCGTTAATGAGCTGGCTGGCTGTGGGACCGGCATCCTCATCCAGGCCGGCATTGCATCCGGGCTCTTTCTTTCCAGCCTACACCTCCATGCAACCCGGCGAGTTCCTGCTGGTGCTTGACCATGCTTTCTTAGGCAGCTTGATGTCGGTGCGCTCTTTTGCCAAACTCGGATTGGCTCCTCTGCCGTTGGATACTGCCCAGACAGGACTGCTGCCGCCGGTGCGGAACAAGTTGCAATCAGGGTTTATTTCATCAGCTGCTGGCAGAATGTGTTCTGATGACGCGCTGTTTGTATTCCTTTTTCCAGAGACGGGCTTGTTGCTGTTTGTCCGTCAGTTCATTTGGCCAGACCTCTCCATGCCGGCAATGGGTCGTCGACTTCGCTCCGCGATGCCAGCGCTTGATTTGTCTTTCTTCGGATCTGCGATGTTTCTTCAAAATGCTCTTTGTGCTGGCACATCTCCACCATTGCCTGGCCGTGGTCGCACTGATAATGCAGTGTCTGCGCCAGACAACGTGTGCTCTGAGAGTGCCCCGTCATTCCACAGCTCCGTATAATTCGGAGTCCTTACGTTTCCTTCTGATTCGATTAGCATTGATTCGCCCTTGCTGGTGCGGCAGCTTGCACATGCAGGTGGTACTTGGGCTCAGGGACTTACTCGGTCGTGCTTCTCGCCTTCGATTATCGATTTTGCAACAATTGGCCCGGTGCTGTTAGCACGACACTTCACACGTGTTTCTGGTGCCCATTCGGCCCTAAGCCAGGCAAGACTGGGCCCTTCTCTGTCTGCACTGGATGCTGCGCTACTTAGCAGTTCCTTCTTTATCAGGGGAATGATGAACCTGTTCAACTACCTATCCATCTACAACCACGGAATTCGGTGCAAAGGGGTGACACCCGACAGCAGCCTGTCTGTGCGTAGCATGCTCATCTTCGGGCCCCCTTTCTCCATATGCAATGCGCTACGAGCAGGCGAGTTGACGCCAGCCATGGACTCTCTTCATATTGGAAGCGTCATGCCATCGCAGTCACTCGCTTAAACTGGTCCAAGGCTGTCAGTCTCGGACTCTTTAAACTCAGCGCCACTGTCATTTTTGCACAGCTCTTCGTGCGCAGGATCCGCTGCACCCGCATCGGGATCCGGATCTCCAGGTCCATTCATGCCTCTTCGCTGCTTTGCCTGCCAGGACTCACCATCTCTCGTGTTTGGATTTCGTCTGGACTTATCACTTGTGATTCCTGACTGTTCCAGCATGGAGCTTTCGTCGCTCTCACGTTCCTCGTCGCAACTTGAGGTGCCGGTCCTCGTACCTGAGATGTCGTCCTCGGGAAGCTTTTCAGCATTGCAGAGCTTTGCATGACCTGGCGCTCTCGTGGCAACCGCAGGCTTCTTGAAGTGCGGCTCCGCTACAATCGCATTGGACTTCACCAAACCGGGAATGTTGCCGTTGATGAAAAGCTCTGCTCGAGGCGACCCGCTTGTTTCTTTGCTCGGCCTACGTTCCGGAACAGCCTTGTCTGCCCCAGACCTCTTGCATTCAGAGGCCGTATCGTTTTTGCGAAGCTTTGCACATCCGGAGCTCCCCCTTCCTGCCTTTGAAGCCTTTCGCCTCGACCCGATTCTACTGTTGCAGGCGTCCTCTCAGGTTGGGTCGCTGCTTTTGGTTTTAGGGGCCTCGAGACTTGGGAGCTTGATGCTTGCGCCGAAAATCGGCAACTTGGAGGTGTCGTCGCCAGCGAAAACACCTATGCATCCCGAGCTCTTCATGTCGACTTTGGGCGTGGCCTGTCAGCATGCACTTTCGGTTCTTGACTTCTTGCACCCGGAGCTGTTCTTGCTTCCTCGCAGTCCTGCTTGCACAGGCTTCGTGCCGCCTGTAGCCAGCTTGGCACAAGCGGATGCCTCCTTGCCTTTGCGGGCACCCTCCCGAGCAGATGCTCCTCCGGTTCCTTGCGGGTTGTTGCGCCTTGATCAGTCTTTGGCGGTGCCCAGCTACGGATTTTCGGAAAGCTCATCATCCTTAAGAAGACTTGCTTGGCCTGACTTTCCTGCCTTAGTCCTCGGAGGCATCCGCTTGGGAGCTCCCCCGTTGACATGTGATAGCTGGGCCACTGGTCCATCCTTGCCAGCGCGCAGCCTCCTGCACTCGGGACAGTTCCTAGAGCTCGAGAAGCTGAAAAGGTGGAGCATCATCTCCCTGGAGCTCTCGGACTTCTACCGTGGGGATGTGCCGTTGCCTCTACGAGATCTTGCCCGACCCGGCTCTGCCTTGCCATCTTTCGGAGGTGCAAGGCTGGAGCTCTCAACTTCAACACCGGATCTCCAGGAACTGGGCTCGGCTCCGACGCTGCGAAGCTTTGTTTGCTCCGAGCTGGCCACGTCCATCGGAGGCTTGCATCGCTCGGGACCTAGTCCGTTGGTGTCAGATCTCCTGCACTTGGAGTCCACGCTCCCTCCTCGAAGCTGCGCTCGCTTGGGTCCGGCAGCGGCGATTTTCAACTTTGGGGCACCTGGCAGTCTGCCACCGTCACAGGGCTGCACACGGATGGGGAGCTTTGCGCTGGCGCTCGGAACACTTCGTCTGGGACTCCAACCTTTGGCGCTGAAACTCGCTGCAACGGGCTCTGCCTTACTCTTGAGAGAATCCTCGCGACCCGAGGCCTCCCTGCTCGTTTCGGCATCCGCGCAACCCGAAATCTCTTTGCTCTTGCGCAGCTTGGCCTGCCTTGATGTGCCGGCGTCGATGTTGCAGTCTTCTAGATTTGAGTTCAGCCTGATTGCGATGGACTTCTTACACTTGGGAGCACCAGCTTTGTTGCAAAGCCTCTGTAAACTGGAGCCTGTGCCATTCGTTTCAGATAGTGCTTGCACCGGACTTCCGCCTTCTTCGAGGCATCCCGCCAGAGTGGGTCTGCTCTTATCACTGCTCGCTTGCACAAGGACGGGTTCGCCTCTGGCAGTGCCGGATGTCATCGGGTTTGGCCTTGCTTTACTATTGCGGTCCACGGCCCATCCGGCCTCCTCCCTCTCTTTCTGCAGATCGTTTCAACCGGAGCCGCTTCCACTTGTCTCGGACTTTAGCTTCTTGGGGCCACCTCTGCTCTTGCAAAGCCCGGGTCGGTCGGGTCCAGCGATGCTTCCATGCAAGGTGAGCCATTTCGAGTCCTCTGTCCCGGTTTTGGATTCCTTGCACCTAGCGAGCTTCCTGTCCTTGCGAAGTTCTCTGAAAGCAGGGCATGCGCTCTCGCTTGACGTGAAACGAGTGGATTTAGGGGTTTTTGTCTTGGGAAGCAAAGCCCTTGACCCAGCTCCTTCGACCCGAGGCCTCGCAAGGCTTGGCTTGCTCTTGTCTGCCTGCGGCATGAGCTGTCTCGACTTTTTCATGTTTGTCGCTGACTTCCTGCAGCCAGGAGCTGCACCGTCTCTGAGATCCGTCGCTCGGACGGACTTCGCTCCGCCAGCCTCTGATGTCTTTCTGGGCAGCTCGCCGATCCTTCAGAGCTTCGCCTGTCTGGACACCCCAGCTTTGCTTGTAAGGGCAGCAAGTTCAGGCTTCAGCCTCTCAGTGTCGGACTCTGTCACTGTCGGGTCGTCTCTTCTTTTGCGGCAGTCTGCCTGACTGGAGCTGCCGCCGCTTCCTCTGCAAGCAGCTGTTCTGGGGTTCACACCTATTGTTTTCGATGGTGCAAGGATGGGCTCCCTGCCGCTGCTTCGATCATGCCTGCGCATGGAAGCCTTTCCATTGCTTGTTTCTGCTTCACGGCTGGAGGTCTGCTTGTTTGCTTTGGGCTTTTTGCAGTCCGAGCCTCCCATGTCTGCGCAGTCCCTCGCTCGTACCAGCCCTACTGCTCCTGCCTGTGGACGGGCATGCCCTGGCGCGACTTTGCTTGCAACAGGTCTGACACAGCTTAGCAGCCTTCTGTCATTGCGTAGCGTTGGGTGGCCAGACTTGGCCCCGACGTCTTTCGGGTTCGGATGTTTCGATCCGTTGCTCATGGCGCCAGATTTTTTGCACCTAGGCTTGTCTCCGCCTTCACAACAGTTCTCCTGCACCGATTTCACCATTGTAGCACCTGGATCAGCGAGATCGGACACCGGCACATCCGTTCCGGACTGTGCATGTCTTGGCCTGCCGCTGCCACTCAGAGGTGCCAGCTGCATTGGCTCTGCCCTGTCTCTCTCTCATTTCGCGCGATTGGACGCTCCTGTGCCAACCCCTGATGGCCATTCTGCGGGGTCAACTCTGGCACTTGGACTGCAAAGAGTATAAGGGTGGCCAGTCGTTTCCTCAGCTCTGAAATTCCCAGGATGTCGCTGTGCTGTCCAGGCGCCACGAACGCTCTCTTGACCCGTGCCGACTTCATCGCTGTCCGGCCTGAGCTTCAGAATTCCAACGGAGGATGATCAATGCAATGGGATCAATGGGTTTCATTAGGAGCTGAAGTGCAGGTACGGCATGCATCAGTTCCACGTTGTCTGTGGCAGCCTGAGAGCATGAAGGCGAGACTGCGCAGTCGGAGCTTTTGGATGCTTGGCAGGCTCTGGATGCCTGGAGTCCAGGGTTGCCACTGCTTGTTCTCGGCTGAGAGCTGGTCTGGTGAGAGCTGGGGATTTCTGAAAGCTCCCTCTGGATCCAAGGCTCGTTCTGCGCAGCGTTCGGCAGCCTCGATGTCCACCTGCGGAGTCGGTCGTCTAGGCAGTTTCTTATCTGTGCGGGGCACTTGGATGTGCTCTGAGAGCTGAAGCTGCTGTGCGCACAGAGTTTCTCAGGTTGAGCTTCGTGCACTTTGGGCCATCGACAGCTACACGCTCTCTTGCCTGCTTCGCTTCCTCTTTATCCACCTTCTTCCCAGTCGCAAGCCCAGGGTGTCTCTAACTTAAGTTTCAAGCGTTGCGATGAGCAGCACTTCGCACTTGCCGAGGGAGGGTATCTCGGGTTCATTCCCCGGTCTCCATTTTCTGCACGAGCCACTATGCTGCAAGAATCCCCCTAGCCTTGGATCTAGAGCATTCCTGGGCTTGTGAATGTGAAGCACGAGACGCCTTCCCACTTGCCTTCAGGCATTTGCCTGGACGGGTGCAAGCTCGACGCTGATGTCAACTGCGCGTTCTGGCACTTCCATGTCAGCGTCGGATCTTCTAGGTGCCTTGCACTTGCAACAGGGGTTTTCTTGGGTCGAGGCCACCATTCATGTGGGTGCAGCTGCAGCAGGTTTGGACTCACCACTGTTGGTGCAGAGTCTTTCGAGATCAAGCTTTGCATTAGCTGCCGGCACCTGAGTGAAGTTTCAGCTAGCCTGGCTGGGCCTAGCAGTGAAGCGCCCAAGGTGTTCTCGGCTTCATGCTTGGGCAGTTCTTTATCGTCGCGAGGCAAGGGGCAGTGTCATGAGCATGCAAAAGTTTTTCATGGCTCGATCGCTGGGGATGTTGCTGCCATCCTGACATCCAAGATGCTTAGGCGCAGCACATGCTGGCTGGGACCTTACCCATTCTGTCATGCCTCTGGTGCAGAATCGGGCAATCCAAGCAACATCCGGCACGAGACATGCCCAACACAGGTTCGCCACCGTCGCTTTCTGGACTTGTCCGGCTGAGCAGCCCCATGTTCGTTCGTGACAGCGTTTGCCTGGAGCCCAATGAGCAAACCGCAAGCCTGGGAGGCGGAAGCTTTGTTTGGGTTTGGGTAGAAGACCACCGCTTCTCGTCCCACATTCTAGTTCAGCTGCAATTGATGCTTCCTCGAGTCGAGCAAAGCATGAGCCGCTGCGCCCAATGCATGTGAGCAGTTAAGTGGAACCAAACACCAATTAGCCTTGTGTTTCCGCGCCAAAGACTGCACCAAGCCCTGGGCCATTTTTCCTGGATGCGCTCTGCGACAACACAATGGTACTGGGCATTGCACAAATCCTTAGAAGTTGAGCAGCAGTCGAGGCATCGCTCCCTCAGCGCAGTTGCAGCTCCCTGTGTGGACAATCAGCTGGGCTCCCACCTTAGCCATCATGATTGCCGGCACACGTGGCTTCACGCACGATATTCTATCCTCATACTTCAGACCTGATCTGCGCCACGCCTTTCAAGCCAAGGACACTGGGACGAGTGAACTCCAGTTTAAGACCGGCTCCACGAAGGACGGACTTTTGGTTCTGACAGAGATCGAAGAGCCGTTGGGTCTTCATGCAAGGTCATGGCGGTCAGCGCGTCAGGAGGCAGGTCGCAGAGTTGCAGTGAAGGAGGTACCGTCTGGTAAGTCGAGGCAGCTTGCACGGCACCTGGGCCTCCGAGAGCATCATCAGCGCCTCCGACAGCCACCTGAAAAGAGAGGCGGGGCTTTCTGCTTTTTCCTTTCTGGCCGGTGGGAAAGAGCTGGGATGTGGCTCAGGTCCTGCCGCTCTACCGATCGCTCCTTGAGAAGAGAGAGCAGAACAGAGCAGGTGAAGACGAGCAGAAAACGGACTGTCACAGTATTATACTACGTAATTATATATTATAAGTCTCTGCTTAACAGCAGAAAGTGCAAGGTGCAGGCAGCGAGGAGCGTGAGGACATCAGCGCTTCCAGCCTTCTGCGCCGGGCAGACAGTCCATGCAAGACATTCAACGTAAATGAAAGCCCACCCCGGGTTGTGGCCGGCCCTTTTGGAGTGCTGTACCGTCGAGCCGTCGAGTCAAAAGCAGGGTCTCATCTTCTCAGGTCTCCTGGTTCCCGACGGGCTTGATTCTCGGTTTTCAACCCTGCGTGTGCACGCACGCGCCAGCGAGCATTTGAGGTCCTCCGACCCCTTGAACTTCAAGCTGGAGGTTGCTCGGGAACTCGTAAGTTCAAGAATCAAGAAACCGTTTGGATGAGCTCGCAGGCTACTGACGAGTCACTTCGTTCCCTTCCGGGTGTGGTGCGCCAGATGCCCAACCAGGCACTGGCGATGTTGAAGACTGTTTGCCAGCTTGCCAGCAATGTGCCAGCCACCGCAAAAATATTCAGGGAGGGCGTTTGGGCATTTCTCATCAAGATCTCCTGGCAGCGAGGGGCCGAGATATGCGACTTTGCCTTCGCTAGGATTGGGTGCTTGAGAGCCGCTCCTGCCTCTCTTTGAGGTCATCACCCTTGCGGCCAAGGACTTCGAAATCCTGCTCATTCGCGCTCTTGCTTGTTGCTTTCCTGCTTGGTGCGTTTAAAACCATGGCCCCAGGAGCGAGAGAGGCGCCTGCAGGTCTTGGAGGCACAGGATTGCGGAAGCTCTGGCTTTTGCCCCGATGTGACCCCTCCTTTAGCTCCAACGAAGGCACAGGAGGAGGCAGAGATTGCCCAACAAGAAGAGCAGAACGGTCTGATCCAGGCGGGATCCTTGTTTCAGCATGTTTTGTAGGAAAGGGCTGAACCTTTCACGGTCGGACTGCATCAGGGCTGATGCATGCTTGTCCTCCTTCGCAAGTTTGTTTGGTGTCCACTCCGTGTGAGGGACGCTTGATTCCAGCGGCAGCGATTAGCAACTCTTTACACTCTCACAGGGCCCAAGGGTCATGCTGGTCAAGAAACGGCAACAGCAAGCGTTGGCGAAGGCTTCTTGACTTGACTGCTGCGCTCCGTGCAATTTTCCAGGCGCTCTTCAGCCAAGTGGAACAGCTTACAAAGCGGTTTACATTGCTGAGGCCCTCCTTGCGGAAGCAAGCTGCAAGTTTGATCTGTATATCGATTAACAGACTTACGTACTTGCTGCAGGTACCAAAAAAGCAGGAGACTCACGAGATTTCGATCCAAGTGAAGGGCGGGACTGAGCCACAGTCCATGCAGCTGCGGCCACCGCCTGCTGGTCAAGGAGCTGTCAGCGTTCCGGTGATTCCGGCAGCATCTACAGGAGTCCGTTTCCAGGTATCGGCTGAGCTCTCCGATGGGGCGCAGCGAAGAGTTGGGCACTCCAAGAGGGGCCAGATCCAGTGAAGATTCCATTAGTGGGAGCCCCTCGAGAGCCTCTTGACTCTGTGTTCCCCTTAACTCTGACGATGACCCTGGCCCTGGGCATGTTCTCAAGGGCTCCCAGTTCATATGACAGACGCCAAACTCAATGATTCGAAAAAGAAGACATGTGCCGAAGTAAAGCAGGGCTACTCGGCCACTGCTCTCTATACTTAGGGCATCTTCTGGCCTTCTTCATCGTTGCCGTTTCCAGAGGGTGCTCAGATTTTGGGCGGCCACAACCGCCATCGCCCTGGACAGCCAAGGACGGATGGGACTCCTCCAACACTCCTCCACCCTGCTGAAATCGCTTTCTCCTTCTGTCTCATGGGCTGCAACGAACGTGGGTACATCGCTGCCAGGCGGACAGCGGAATGTCGAAGAAGGAAAGTGGCAAGTCGGTGCTGGACCTGGAGAGGCTCGGGGGAGGGAAGGCCTCATCTCTTCTCCAAATTCTGCTGGCGGCTGGCCAGGTACTTGAACCAGCCCGTGAAGGTCAAGTTTTCTGGTGGACGAGAAGTCAAGGGCATTTTGAAAGGCCGAGCTTTCAGCTGCCTGAACGTGTACGTTCACATGCAGTGGATTCACGTGCCAGGACATGACGCTGTAGCAAACCTAGTGCTGGATGACGTCCAGGACCCCACTTGCACTTGTCATGTGCAACGTGTGTGTCCGTGTCTGTGTGTGTGTGTGTGATTGTTCCTGCCGAGGGGTGTGTACAATCAGGAATACCTCCGAGACCCAGAAGACCCATACAAGGTGCCATCTCTTGGCGCTTGGAGCTGACCGCCGGCCCATGGTGCCCACTTCTTGAGGTCTCAGACGAGACCAGAAGTCTTGGACTGGTGGTTGCACGTGGCACATCGGAAGCCTCCTCAGCATTCCACTCTCAGAATTTTTTGTTGATCCGATCCTGCACTTCGCAGGTCATGCTTATTTGTCCGGTGGACGGCACAGAGGAGATTGCGAATCCTTTCGCAGGTGCCTAGGCCGGCTCTTCTGCACCGCGAGGCGGCTTATTCGTTTCCGAAGCTCCTAGCCGCCCAGCCATGCAGGCAGAGGCAGGCTGCGCGATGACCCGGATTCTCTGAGGGAAAGTCCGGGATGTGCCGCGGACTGCCATGCGCAACAGAACCATGTTATACAGATGCTATAGCCCATGTGTACAGAGTGACATACAGTACAACGGTTGTGCAGACACACACCCACATAGACACGCACACACACACAGAGTAGGTGCGGACATGCAGAAATACCACGTCTAAAGTGGAAAAAAAGAACACCCAGGCGTGTGCTTACAGTAGATCTTCAAAGGTTCTTTGGGTTTTTGGCGCACGCGCACAACAGATTCCGATTCCAGGTCTGAGCAGAAACTGCGCCAATCTCAAGCCCCGCTAGGATTTGTCAGTGTGTGCTGCAAGCTACGCAGTGACACATCGTGCCGTGGACAGCCCCTTCGAACTGCGAAGCAAGGCTGTTACGTATATGCAGTAAAAGGGGAGCAACCACATCGAGCCGCGAGCAAAAGAAGGCCGACTGCAGATGTCACAGTGCAGCCAAGAACGAGCAAACTTCTCACGGCACTTTTTTGTGGCGGCTCATGCCCGGGAGAACCCGCCATTGGTGTCGCATGAGGGTGCTGTTGATGCGAGGAAGGTGTAGCCAACCTTGTTGCCGTTATGCTAACTCTTAACTGTCTTAACTCATACTAATTGGGTGCATACTGTGGCTGCAATCAATCTTTCTGTCCTCCCTTTATTGGGGTTCCATCAGTGCGGCAATGCTCATATCATGAATTTGGGATTTGCAGTTCGGTTTTGGTGCTTGTACGAATGAAAAGCCAACTTATAGCAACTCCATGATATGAAGGCCATGTCCAAGCGGAGCCGGAGGCATGCAGTCCTTGAGCCTTGCAGCACTGGCGCGGCTTGGCGGTGACATTGCAAGCCGTGTACGTCCTAATGTCCTCGGAGTCCTTTCTTAGGTCAGCTGCCGCAGAGGCCCCACCGGGTGCTGTGCCCATGCTGCAGTGTGAGTCCTTGATTCCGGGCCTTGTTTCAGTAGCTCTCTGGAGAGGTGGTTGTGGGCCTACTGGGGGTTACCGCTTTAGGTACCTTCCTCAGGGACCGAGTCCTGGTATGCTGACTACGAGCTCAGATACCGCCGGGCGCCAACTCGTCCGCTGGTGCTAGACACGGCTCCGGCTGCCGCTGAGGTCCGGAAGATGCTGGTGCCTGGACCCCTGTGGCCCGTTGCTCTCCTGTCTCCGATGCTCGAGCCAAGCCTCAAAGGCTGAGCCCCTACCGTGGCGGATCTCAGCATGGCGGAGCCTGGCACGTTGAGCTGTCCCGTGAGTGCGCCGGGCGACACCCGGCCAATGGCAGGCAGTTCCAGGAAAACATCCTTGACTTTCATCGAGCAGGTCTTGATCTTGCAGCTGTTTGGGTTTTTGTTCAGTCTGTTTTGTCTCCGGCGTTTGTGGTGACGACGCATGACTAGAGGCCGCCCCCCGCTCAATGCAGCCCACTTTGTGGTTATGACACTCGCGGGCGAGTCCCAGCAGTGCCAACAGGCATGTTTGCAGCGCATTGCAGCGCTACGCCACATTCTTGGACTCCACTACCAGCGTTCTTCCGTGTGGCAGGATCTTGCTGGAATGTCCTGGCCTTCTTTGGACGGCGACGCTGCTCGTGGCTGAGGCCGAAGCAAGGGCATAGAAGGCCAAGCGCCGCAGAGCACCGCAGAGCACCGCTCTGCTCCGAAGGCGCGGCTCTCCGCCGGAGCTTGCCTGGAGGCAGCGGCGTGGCGTGGCTCGCGTCTCTGCGCGAATCGCCTTTGAAGCCTGTGGCGAAAGTCGGCGTCTCTGGAGGCGGACAGTTTGGTGCGGAGGCTGTGGGGATGGATGTCTCAGTCCGACGCTTCCTTTCCTCGAAGCCCGCCGCACCTTGCGCCATCTGCCACATCATGGGCTCAGGTCCCATGCTGCATTCGCGGCCTAGCTGCAAGCCCATGCAGCAACATTCCCCCCTCCATGTGTGCTCTTTCCGTCTGAGGAAGATTCCTCGCCTTGGTCGGAGGAGGCGATGCGAAGGTTGCTGCTCCTGGCTCCTGGCTGGGGCTTGGAGGCGCGAAGTACAGTGCGCCGTGTGGTTTTTCAGAGTTGAGCCATCTCTTGAGCCCCTTCGACACGAGGCTTCAGCTCATCGCTTCCTGCAAGCCCAGCATTTCTGCCCCAACACGGCCCCAAGGACAGTTCTGCAGAGGCGGGAAGAGCCCAGACTGGCCATGAAATGACGAGAGAGAACGGAGCAAGCGAGCTTACAGATAGATGTCTGGGATGACTGTGACACAAAACTATTCTGTGTCGGGTAGGTGTGCCTTTCAACGAGGCTCATCCCCTCCTTTCCGTAGGAATGCCACACGGCAGTCTGTCTCGTCGAAGCTGTGTGAGTCGTGAGAGTGCAACTAGCGACCGCTCCAAAATTGAAACTGCAAAAACTAAATGCGGTGCTGTACTCGCATCAATCACGGCTGTACACACCCCGATATCCTCGGACGGTCGTCAGGCATCAAGGTACGCCAGATACTCAGAAGGACAAGCAACTAGCCGAAGATCGTAACACCTCAGAGGACTCGGAGGTTGTGACTCTTCAGCATCCGCGACGTGTAGACTCATGCAATAGGTGCAAGCTTTCCTTCAGTCGTGTAGCAAAAAGCACGCGCCGACGGTGCAAGCATTCATGCAGAATGTCGAGTGCGCCTCAGGCATCCGTCCACATTTGCAGTGGAAATCAGTGCTTGCATGTGCTCGCAAATCCATGCACAAATTCACCTGATAAGGTGCAGATGCGGATGACTCATGTTATGGAAATTGCCAAGCTGCTATTTCATATGTCAATCCCTCCAGGCTTAACGCTCAACTCAACGCTTCTGAAGATTTCCTTTGTCGGCAATCAGAACTGTTCTTGAGGCGAATGCTTGAGGAGCGCCGTGATCATACGACGAGACATCGGCTAGTAGCTCACCGTGAACTTCGCAAGCGATGAACCCACCCTCCCTTGACGTTCCTTGCGGGTAAGATTATGTTGCTTGTCGGGGACGGTGGGAGTGGGATGCGCAGAGTCGAAACAAAAGTCTGCAGTTGGCCCATTGCCACTCGAAACCAAGCCTTGCTTCCGAACTGAAGCACAGCTACATAAGCCCCCCCCGCCACTGTAAACCGTCATACTTCCTAATGCCTTGCTGTTTGGTATCGTCCCTGGCCTTGTTGACGTCTGCAGCAGGTGCGGGGCTGCAAAGCTGGATGTTGTCGTTGCATTCTGCAGAGAGGCGCGGCCCTCTGATCTTGTCAACGCCTGCAGCGACGAATGCACAAGAGCAAGCTGCTTGTGCAGTGCGTTGCTGACATGATTGCATGGGCAATTTCACAAATTTCATACTATTGAAACGGGTTTAAACAGAGCACTACATGTATAGTCGGAGCAGTCGTTTCCAGCCGACAAGGACCTTAGCTGGCTCATGGACTTTGCGGACGCAAGGCCAGCCTCCTCAGTTTGAGGCGTTTGGGTTGCGACATGGCAAGTTGGTGCTGAACAAAGGCTGTGGCTTTATTCGAAGTGCCCAGAGCCGGATCTGGCTGCACTGGACAAGCTGGGACTGCCATGCGCAGTGGCCCCAACTGCCTCACACATAAAATTCTCACCAGGTTATATCAAGAGCTGAGGTCACTTTGGAGCAGCTTCCGAATCTGGGTATGGAGTCGTTGGCCTATGCCATGCACCCAGCAAATTTGTCAGCCCATCGGTCGCTAACAGTGTATGAGGCTACGCATTTGGAACGGCGACACGAAGGCTATGCTGAGTACACGACGCAAGCTTACGCCGTGCGACATGGCAACCCTGCACCTGGCATGCGCCCTTCTAGCAAGCCGTGTCTTCAAGGATGTTTCTTCAAGGAGAGCCTTTTCAACACGCTCCCCGACCACTCCTTGGAGACATTCTCGCCGCCATTCATGCGCCTTGAGCAGTCAACAGCTGTTAATTGTGGGCGAGCGGAGAGCTGTGCCGCTGCTGTGCCGCTTTGGCGACTGCCGCTGTTTCACTACCGTATGTTTAACTGCCGAGAAGCATGCACATGTATAGCTTCCAGGCGAAAAGACTAAAGAGGACGAGTGGATCAACAGGAGCGCAAAGGATCGTGACCTTTAGAATCCAGAAGTACTCGTAGTGCTCCAAGTGGGACTGCCAGTACTGCAGTATCGGGATTACAAGCAACAGCTCACGATGACAGTAAGAACATTTACGCGAGCTGGATGATGTATGCAAAGCCTTGTTGAACCCGTTGGAGACACGGACACTGTTGTCTTCTGTTGGTGTTGTCCTTCGGCAAGGAGCAACTGTGTCTATTGATGGCTCTCTGTCGCTCCCTACATACTTATGTACATATACGACATACACTTAGCATAATATACTCACACAACCCACATGCCTTTCTCACAGCCCCACATTTGTATGTACATATATATATATATCACAACATGTATGTATGCATACACATATTTAACATATACACTTAGATATATCTTGTATATATATATATGGTACCCGCCTCCCCGAGTTATCCACCAGTTTTGGTGTAAATCCTCTGGCTATTTTGCCCATGATTCTCTCCTCCGTATTTTCAGAGTACACTGTATGTGTGTGTCTACTCTGAACTCTAGCACGTGTGCAGGAATACAAACACTACACTGCTACATACGATCGTTGATAGTGGGTGGTCTTCGGAAGTCTCTTCGCGCAATCCGCGAACCCTATTGAGTTCAACAGGACCTATTGAATTCAAGTTTGGTACGTACTTGAAGCTGCTTGTCCAACCAATGCCAAATGCGGGAGGTGTATGTACTGTCGCCTCACCCGTTTCCTTCTGAAAGTTGGTGCTATCGAACCGCTGTGTTATCCGTTGCAAATTCGGACAACAAACAACGGCGATTCGATAGGGCCAAATTTTCCGAAGGGTGTCGTTTCAGAAAATGTGCTGCTATCGGAACCGCTGCGTCTTCCAGACCTCAAGACAGCACCAGATTTTCCGAAGGGTTTGCGTCGAAAAAGGTGCTATCGAACCGCTGTGGTATCCGTTGCAAATACGGACAACAAGCAGGGGCGGCTCGATAGCATCAACTTTTCCGAAGGTTGTCGTTTCAGAAAACTTGGTGCTGTCGAACCGCTGCGTTTTCCGAAAATGAGATCAGCGGAAAGCGGTTCGATAGCACCGAATTTATATAGGGCATGAATATAAGGTGTTGTACAAAACGTATTTCGGTAGCCTATATTTAGAAAGGTATTCTGTATGGCATCCTATACGAAATTCTCTAAATTCCATTGAGGGGGTATCCTCTGAGGTAGTTGTAAGGCCTTCTATAAGGTAGTTCTAAGGCTGTTCGTCTGGTTCCTGATTTCCTTCATAGGAACCCCTGACCCATAAGTTACAGTTCAACTGGGGACTTCTCAGATCTTGAGCTCCGACTGGTTTTCCATGTTTAGAATCCCTATCTATATAGGGTACTCTATAGGGTGTTCTATAGGAGATCCTCGAGGGAATCCTATAAGGTAGTCTATAGGTAGTCTGCAGGTATTCTAGATGTATGTAAGGTATTATACACGCTTATCATAAACAGGCGATCGTCTTTAAGGTATTCAGCAGGGTATTCCAGATGGTATTCCCTACGGGATATGTACGTTATATTGGGGGACCAGTATAGAGTATTCTTAAAGGTAGTCTAAACGGTATTCCTCCGGTTTTTCCACAACGTATTGTGGAAGGTATTTTGGAGGGTATGTACAGGAGGTATTTTATAAGGTATTCTGTTCTGTGTATGGATCCCTACTAAATGAGCCTCGATTCGTTCAAGGAGTTAGTAGATCCCAGATGCTGCACCGGGGCCCGTCAAACGGACCATTCGGTCAAACACTCCTTTCCCCCCCAACGGGTGGATAACTTGGGGCGGGGTTAGCATATGTACATGTATATACACACACATGCACACTACCTGTATACATATGCATATCTAACACGGACAGATATAATACATGCATCATTCATGCACTTGTGTAGCTAGAGAGTCAGATGAGATAGGGTTGCTGCGTGGAAAGATGCAGTTTTTCGGATCATGTCGTAGTGACTGAGGCGGGCATCTACAATGTGCCGTTCCTGCACTTGAACCTGCGCCGCTTCCTCGCTGGGAGCAGCTGGTGTTTGAGGCGGAACCTGGCACTCCCTGTGGAAAAGAAGCGGAGTTGAGAGACTTTTCTCCAGCTTTTTCTCGAGGGACCTTTACGTGCGCCTCTTCGAAGCTGAAGTTCCCGAGGCCCCCATGTGGAGCCTTTTTTTGCTCGCCCTTTACCAGAGACGGTGCTGTACTTCTGTGCTCCTTTTTCTGTGTCTTTGCCCTTGGACAGGTCTTTGGTTCATACTGCTGCAGCCAGCCGAGAGCTTACATCGTGCACGAGCGCGTGGAACCACGCGTCGGATACCGGCGAGGTTTGTTGTCCGCTCTGATCGCCTACATCAGAGCCGAAGTTTCTACCAGCGGATAAAACGTATCCTGCGGCTTGGGCCAACAAGAGCAAATTCATATTTCTTAAAGCTGTAGTCTCCTCATGTCGTCGGTAACTGGCTTCGTCTGACTGTATCCACATCCAGTGGATGCAGTGTCTTTAAGGTTGGGTGAGATGCCTCTCGCTTGCGCACAGGACGATTGCGCCGACTCAATTTTGCACGCGACTCTGACGAAAGCGTCTTCGCATCAATTTGGCAGGATGTCAAGTATGATCCTCGACCCGGGATAGCCATATCTGCCCTGTTTGAGCACTTGCCGCCCGGTTGCATTTGCGGCACAGATGCCGTGGTTTATCGTGGCAGCTTCCCATTTTGCAATGCTGCTTGGCCTGCAGGTGGCATGTCATCTTTGGTGAACCGGCAGTTCTGCCCGTTCGACGCAGCAACCGCGAGTGCTTTTGCATGCAAGACATGTTGGGCCGAGTGTATTGGAGTCCAAGTTCCGGCCGAGGCTTCCACTCTTTGCCCAGCTGGATGTGGGCGAAGGGGAGCTTCCAGACTTTTTCGCCTGATAAAAATCGCAGCCCAAGATCTGTGTGGCTGTAGACGCAGCGGTGCCCTGAGTGCTGTGGCCGGCTCCAAACTTGGTTCAGGCTCAAAGTGCATCAACCCGACATGACATATTAAATATGGCCGTCCAAGGACAGCAAAGTGATAGACTTGCTCGTAAAGCTTACCGACTTGCAGTGCTCTGACTTTTTCCAGTGTTGGCCATGGCTGATGTGGTCATGGCGGATGCATATTCAGAGAGACTGCTTCTCGATGCAAAGGCTTGGCCCCTAGAGTCCTTGCAGCTTTTCCGCAAAGTCCTTCAGAACGTCCTTGACAATCCGCACGACGCCAAATTTCGCAAGCTGAAGCTCAGCAATGCCCGCATCAATGCTCTCCTCTCGGAGAGTGGAGCCCAGGAGGCATTCCGTGCACTCGGCTGGATCTCCACCGGAGATGCTCTGGAGCTTCCCGCGACGGCGAGCTTAGACATGACGACAGCGGTTCTGCAAGGCACGGAGCTGCCGCCGCCAGGCGATCCCATTGCCTTGACGGTCCTCCGAGGCGCTCTGAAATCGAGTCTCAGCAAATCGAGCTTCCAGGTGCTACCAGTAGCTCCAGAGTTGTCGGGCTCGCCTTAAAACAAGTTCAGCAAGTGCAGGTATGAGGTGACTCTGTGGCACCAAGGAAGCTGGAGCTGCCTTGCAACACCCTCTTCAGCGGACTGGCTGCTGCCATCGAGCAGAGCGAGCCGTTGGGCCGAATACCCCGGAAGAGACAGCGGCTCCTGATTGGAGTCCCGCCCAAGCCTCTGCAGGAATCCTTCCCGCACTTCGCTTCCATGACTATCGCGGAACTCGGCTTGAAAGCTTTTAAGCTCGAGGACACCTGGGAGGAGATGGTGGCTGATCTACGTGCCGTTCGTGCCAGCTTTGCATCACTGGCCTCGGTTCTGGCTTGCAAGAAGACGCTTCAGGACAACTTCGAATTCTTGCTGGACTCTGCCAAGTCTTTGCTGAAAGCACGCGCGATGGCCATGGATGCATCCGAACTCCGAGATGCTCGCAGTGTTTTCAAAGTTCTCTGGCCACCAGGGGACTCAAACACGAGAGATGCCAGGTTGGCACACTGTGCCACTTGCACGCCCTTAGCAGCTCTCGCGAAGGATGAGGATGGATCAGCAATCCAATTTCCGCTGCGGGTCGAGAGGACGAATCTCTTCAAGAGCGCTCTTGAACAGATCTGCGAAGCCTCGGTAGCAGACCTGCGAAAGTCGCTACAAGTGACTTTTGCGGGCGAGGCCGCTGAGGATGCTGGAGGCCCACGTCGTGAGTTTTTTAACGACTTCGGCCGGGCCTGCGTGGACGAGGAAGTATGGCAGAGGACTGCCGCAGGTTCACTGGTTCCTTCTCCCTTCTCTGCAGCGGCTGACGTATTCCGGGGCTGTGGTCGAATCTTTGGGCTCGCCCTGTGCCAGGCAGAGAACGCAGCGCAAGAGCAGCGAGTAAGGGAGAATGCCACACTACAGGAGCTTCTAGCGGCGGTCACACAAGACGACGACAACCAAGAGCAGCAGCTGCAAAAGCTCCTGCTTGGAGCAACTCTCTCGCGACCGTTCCTGCGGTGCGTTCAGGCTGATTTCCCGGAGTCTGTAGAAGAGCTACAGGCTGAACTCAATGCAGAGCAGAGCGAAAGCGCTCCGGATTTCAGAGGCTCCTCCACTTTCCTGACCTCGCAGTTGAAGGACATCGGTTTGGAAGGGCAGCTGACCTTCAGCAGAGAGGTGCAAGGGAACACCGTCGATCTCACAGTCGGAGGCCGGGCCATCGTTGTGACCGATGCGACAAAGCTGGATTGGCTGCGAGCGGTGCTCCGCCACGAGCTTGTCGAGGCCGTCCAGGAGCCAGCAGCTTCCTTCAGACAAGGGGCCGCTCGGTCCCCACAGAGGTTTTGAATAGGGGTCGTTACGAAAAGTCCACCATAACACAGCAGCCAAGGTCTCTGAAGCTGCAGGGACGGCATACTTGGCGCTGTTGTCGGCGGACGAACTTCAGAAAGCCCCCTTGCCTGGAAGTAGCGTTGCTGTTCGGGCGTGGAGCAGACAAGATGTGCTTAGCTGCGCTCTGCCGTGAAGCTGAGGAGTGGTCAGGCCTCGCGCACGTCAGTGATGACGCGTTGAAGGTTTGGCAGAAGTGCCTGGGCCTGCGGTTACCTGCGGTTGGTGGTTTCGTCGTACCGGCATGTAAGACTCAACCACATGTGCGAATGCAATCGCATGGCACTAAGGCAAGCGATTGTGAATCCGGTGCCCATGCTGCAAATCCTGTCTGGCCTTGAACTTCGTCAAGTGTTGAAGAGAAAGCTGACACATGCTGGTCCTATCCTAGATCTGAAAACATGCTGATTGCATGCTGCACACTTGAGGTGGTTTCGACAAGTGTTACCCGTACCCAACTGCCATCTCTTGACTTGCTCCACGCAGTTCAACTGTGCTTAGTGTACTGCCGACTGCTTCTGCAATGAGGCACGCGCGCAGCAGGCGGCGTGGTTTTTCGAGATCTTGTGGGCCGAGCACGCCCGAGATGCCCGCTCGAGCGTGCTGAAGTTCACCACAGGCACTGCCAGTCACAGGAAGTGATGCTGTAGACTTGTCTGCTCGTCACAAGCATGCATAGTGTAGGCTGGCCCACATCATGCTGCAAGTGCAAAGGCAGTGATCGGTGGCCTGTGGATTCCAAGACCTTCATATTCTACATAGAGCCCATGGACGGCGGTGATCTTCGATTGCACAGCCAGAGATTATGCATGAACGAGAGAAGGCTTCCTAGATTCAGTACTGTATTGTTCGGTAGTCCGGGCGAGTGACAGCAGCGGAACTGCTTACAAGCATGTCTACGTTCAGGGATGCCTTGCTTCGGTCTTCGTCCACTGTCTGCCCCGTTTGACAATATTTTAGGTCAATACAAGGCAGGGTCAGGATTGATCCAGACCCCAGCTCGTTTTGGGCAGCTCAGCGTTTGCCGAGGACGATTTGCTGCCTCGAGCAATGACTTGCGGGAACATGCTGCAACTCCCCCTCTACACCTCGAAGGACAATGGCACCTGCACCTGATACTTGGCAGCGCAAACTCCTTCAGACTCAACTGCTTGAGGAGCACTTGCAGAACCAGCTTCTGAAGGCTTGTGATATGGGGCTTTCCATGCAGCTTGTTTAGACACGAACCCCGTGCTGAAAAGAACCCCGAGCGAGCATGAGCCTGTCATCGCATCCATGCACAGCTGCTGCGGGCACATCTTGATGTTGCTGATTGATCGGCTTGGCCTGGCTTGGTGGAGGACAATAACTTCAAACTTGCCGATGCCTCGCTGTGGCCGTCTTTTCGAAGAATGAGGGTTGCGGACGCCTCGCCATGGCAGAATGGGGCACATCTCCAGATGCTCGCCAAGCCACAAGATTTTTCTGGACCTCTCGGATGATTTGGGCTACTCGTACCTCGGGTCCCGGACGATTTCACAAGATGTTTCTTCGGTCACTGGGAAGCCCCAGTCTGTGGCGCGAGCTGCGCTGAATGCTGTCGGCGGCGATCAGCATGAGGCCTGCGCGCTCTTGATGTCCGGATTGTCTGTGGCCGTAACTGGTGGCCCCTGTGAAGTTGCAAGCCTTGAGCTAGGTTCGCCAGCGTGGGTTGGAGGTGAAGGAGTGGTTTCTTCCGTGGGCTCCTTTGCAGGCTCTTTCATCCTACGCTTCCCCCGCTACTGCCGTGAGCGGGTAGATCTCCTGAGCTTGGAGACTATCGAAGTCTTCATGATCGCAGCTTCCGGCACCCAGGGTCCACATTGGACTACGGATGAAGAGCTCAGCAGCCCAGAGATCAGCGCGCCTCTTGACAATGCTTGTCTTCAGCGGAAGACCTTCAAGCCAGGGCCTGTCAGTTTTTCCTTGGAGCATGTCGAGCTGATTCTCATTACGGTGGTAAGGAATAATGGATCCCTGCCTCCACGCAACAGCCATCAGTCGCCGGCACCGGCCGTAGATTCTTGCCAGACGCCAAACCACGGGCCAGCACCGTCTACCGAATCTCGAACTTCTGGAAACCTGGCAGCAGCGAATCTTCAATGGATTGGCGACCTCGGTGCTGGATCCTTCGGCTCTGTGCACCTCGCGCGCACTGCTGGAGGTACTGCGGTTGCTGTCAAGCGGGTACGCGTCACAAGTGGCCATGAGATGCGCGAAGTCCAGATGCTGCGGAAAGCTTCCCACCCCAACATGGTCAAATTCGTTGACTCTTTCAGCTGGAACTCACCCGATGGCCAAGCTTGTGTGTGCATCGTCATGGAATACCTGCCAGAGAACTTACACACCAGAATAAATGGGCGCCCCTTGTCTGCCTGGTACGTTCGCCATTTCAGTGTTCAGCTGCTCACCGCTGCTACGCACCTTGATGCCCTGCAGATCTGTCATCGCGACCTGAAGCCCGAGAACATACTCCTCAGCCAAGATGATGTGCTCAAAGTTTGCGATTTCGGTTCTGCTAAGCTTCTTGGCCGTGGGCCGTCTTGCAACTATGTTTGCTCTCGATGGTGGCGTGCACCAGAACTGATTCTGGGCGCAAGGGACTACAGAACAAGCGTTGATTGGTGGTCATGCGGCTGCATAATCGCTGAGATGATGTCAGGACAGCCCCTCTTCAGAGGTGATTCGAGTTGGGGCCAGATGTATGCCATCGTGCGCATCCTTGGGACGCCGACGCAACGAGAGATGCAAAGCTTGGTGCCAGAGCAAGACGGACAGCGGCTGGCTCAGCACTTCGCAAGCCTCGTGAAGCTTCGTCGTTCTGGCAGGTTCCGGGGCCTTGCCAGTCATTAAGACTGCAGTACATGTGTGGAATGTACTACAATCACTGTAGCATGAATAGTAGAGCAACCCCCGTGAATCTGGCAGGCCTTGGGCGGAACTGCTTCCAGCGTTTGCGCACCTGTCCAGCAGCCTTGCCATCCCTCGCAAGCTGCTGACATACTGCCCAAAGGATCGTTGCCACCCGAGCATGTTGCTCTCAGCGCCCTTCTTGTCGAGTCGAAGCGAAGTCAAGCTTCCCGGCACCAGCGAGCCAAAGTCAAAGAGGAGGCACCAGGCTCAGCACGGCCACCTCGTCGAGCGAAATCCCAAACGACGCTGCTTACTCGTTTCGGCTTGAAGCCGGAAAAGCAGACTCAGCAGACTGCACATGTGCACATCGACATGCCGACTTCCGAGACTTACACAACATATTACACAACGTGCCATCGCAAACGATTCAGAATGTATCATGATATCCCAAAACATCGGATTGGCTACCATACAAGTCGGCCTCGGTGTGTGCATGTGTCTTCAATGCCAGCATCCCATGCTTGCGAGCCCCAGTACAGAAGGGCTCAGCGGGCAAAGTGCTGCAGACGGAATGTTCATTCGTGTGTAAGGATGCGGACTCTTCTGAGATTTTGTGCTGCCAGAACGGTCTCCACAAGCCGAGCAGCTTACGGTCAAAACAGACCTCGGTGTAGCACATCTGCTGCAGGGACTCTGCACACCTTCAAGTCTTCAAGCACCCAAATCTCCCGATGCCGCATACTGCTGTAGGTTTCCTGCAATTTCCCACCCATGGACCCAGGGCAGTTGATAGCACAGCAAGACTTTGCTGGTACTGCGTGCACTTTCCGCATATGCTGTGCCTTTCCGCCTTGTTCACGCAAAACTTCACCATCCGCCGCACTAGCAGCTTCCTCGAGTAGGGCAAGTTGCAGACGAGACTTCCGGGAGGCAGTGTAAATTTGAGGGGGTGGGGGTTCGAATTTGTGCAGTCGGAGCAGGATTGTGCAGTGACGGGGTCGGATTCAGAAAGCGAATCAGCTTTTTCGTTTGAGTGCAATTGTGAAGCCATCTGGCTCACCAGTTCAATGCGCTTGAACCGAGTGTTTCTGAAGTCACAAGCACCGAAAGTTGGAGGCAACTGTTATCTCTTCGGCACAGATGGCGTGCGAACCGCAATTCAGAGCCCTAAGGCCCCAACCAAGTAGATGCATGAGTGGGCTCGCGAGCTGCACATGGAGCCCACCAGCCCGGCATCACCATCAGCCTGGAAGCATAGAACAGAGAGGCGCGCTGGAACTCATCAGGCCGGTGGGGTGGGTCTGTGAGGGTCTGTGAGGTACGGCGACGTCTTCCGCCAGGAAGTTCGGCAGGTGATGTCGCGTGTGACTGACGGCGCCCAGGCCTGGCCCCTAGCATTCGTGAGGCGGCTTCCGAATACGAGAGCCGGACTTTGTCGTGCGGCATTCCCCCCGTCCTTTGAAAGCTCCCGCAGCATCAAAAGCTTCTTCAGTGGCTGTGCCGAGACTGCAATGACTGCATCTGTTACAGCATCATCTTCCCTGATCCGCGCCAAGAAGCTCGCGCCCCGATGCAGCCCTTCAAGCTTCGAGTCAGCAGCCGCAATGATTTGTAGCGGTAATCTGAGGCAATGGAGGGAGCTGGACTCAGTATTCGTTGACCCAGAAGCGTGGGGGTATCGCTTGTGTTTTCTTTTATGCTGACAGCACCGTGGGATTGTAGCAGTTCTACAGTAGTCGTTCGTCGTTGCAGTCGCAGTCATGGTACCGTCGTCGTCGTCGCGGTCGAAACACTCATCCTGAGATCAGGTTGTTCACACCTTCAGGAGCGGCCTTGCCGAGCCACTCAACGAGCTCGACTCCTACAGGCCCGGATCAGTGAGGAGTCACTTCATCTTGTTGCCGTCAAGTGCCTCTGACCCTTGCCCCCGTCGGTCCTGCTGCCGACTGTGTGCAGCACCGGTCGTGCCAGGAAGGCTGCCATGACTTTGAACGAGGCTCGGCAGGAAAGCCTGACCGCAGATCAGAGCGACGCTCTGCTGGCCGTGGTCATCTCCTTACACATCCACGTAGCAAAGCTTGTATACACGACTATTTAGGCCATGACGGAGCAAGAGAGGGGGCACGTGAAATTCATGCCTTCTCCATTCCAAATCCCTTTTCCGGCTAGCCGCCGTAGTCTAGCCGAGTCTAGACACGGGCCATGATTCAGAGACTGGTTTGTTTGGGGAAGCCAGAACTCTTGTGGGCTCACGATCTGGACTTTGGGAGGCGATTCGTTTGCGTGGCTTCCAGCAGCCTCCAACCAATCCGGCCGCCTGGTATGCCTACAAGCACAAAACCCGGCCTGGAGACCTAGGAACAGCAAATTTTGTGCTTCCTCAAGTGTTTAAGTCTCACGATTCGTGGTGTTAGATAGGTTGGAGAAGTGGGCAGCGCCTGCAATCTGGACGTTGCTCCTGCTGGGCGTTGTCGAGACTCCGCTGTGGTGGGAGCCCGCTTGCAAGAGGATGCGGTTCGTGCAGCAGTGGACAGGTGCAACAGCAAGCTCGGTTCCACAGGAGGCATTTCTGAATGACAGCAGTCCAAACTCTCCTGACAGTCTCCTGTGCAGGTTCTTGCCCGGCTGGGGAAAGCCCCGAATTCCTCCTCAGCGGTTTGCTATACCTTCCTGTCGCGTGGGCTGTGGCAGCCTCGGGCAATTTCGTACCCTGCAGGCCGAGTTCAGAACACTCCTTTGCAATCACACTCAAGGTGGGTGTCGAGCTGTTTATCCTGACCTTCCTCTTGGTGCACTTCGTGCTCGAGCCTCGCAAATTTGCAACTCCTTGCCTTGCGAAAGATTTGGAGATTCCGTTTACGGCGAATGGCTAATCATATCAAATTGCGATACCAAGCTCTGAGGGTACATCTCCGGCTGTTCAGCGCGATGAAGGGCTACGGTGCCCCTCTTACAATTCACAGGACATCCGGTCTGTGTAGTGGCCGAAAGCCCAGGCCATGCCACAACAGCAGGCGCCCACAGTGCCATCCAGGGTTTGAGAGTGCGCGAGGATTGTTTCGCTGTGCCGTCGCAACTTGCAGCGCTTGCGGCATGTGGTGGTGCGTCTTTCGCCATGAGGCAAATTGCTCGTCGAGGGAGCGTTGATCGCTTTAAGTTACGTGGTTGGCACCTGAGCATTGGACGGTTGGTGGGTTGCGAACGCACTGCAGCATAACTCGTCAGCAGGCACGTAATCAGAAACTGAGCCGCCTAAGCATTCCTTTTTCCTCGCATTCTGGACTTTGTCGAGGACTTGGCTTCCTTTGTCGCCGGCTCGACGATGCGCGTTGCGCCAGTCCTTAGGCGCAACTCCTGTCACCATGGAGGGAAGCGAGCTTGGCGTGCGGTGTCCGGGCAGCTTGCATTCTTGGGGGAGTCGACTGAGGCATGGCCAGACTACGTACCATCAGCACCAATTCAGCAAGCCAAGTTGCCTAATTTCCACATCGTGATGCAAAGTGTGCAAAGCATCAGGCCAGGGGTGTTAGATGTTCTCCCCTTCAGGCCCGAAGCTTCGGTCTTTGCCACGACCAGCCTAATCAAGTCTCTTTCCACTGCCCAAGTCCGAGTCCCGAGAGCTGCGATCCGGGGGTATGCCGGTCCCGCACAAAATGCTATGGTCACGCGTCCCCTTCACACCCTGGACAAAGAAATTGGCCGAATGATTTCTGTCGAGTAAGATCCGAGTACAGAAGTCATCTGCAACAAGTGCTGCAGCTTGCGTGGTTGCAGATTCTGCCTGCCACTGTGCCAGATTCGGCCTCGCTGCATGTGCAGTGCCACGACTGCAGGCTCGGGGAAGCTCGTGATGTGTGTATAGAACATGGACCCTCAGCCGCTACATTCCGCAGGAGTTGCTGCTGTCCTTCATTCGGACAACAAAAGCCGTGAGCAAGGTGGTATTTTGTAGCTGTGGCACCCTGAATCCCGATTCCTCAAACTCAGTGCAGGTTGGCATGTTTCTGGTCTACACGGTGCTCCTCTTTGCTTTCGTGACTGCTTCCACCTTTGATGATGTCGAGGCATGCAGTCCGTATTACGGACTTTCCCTCGCTCACCCTCTCTCTCTCTCTCTCTCTCTCTCCGTGGTTCTAGCTACTCATGAGTCCGAAGCATGGATCATCGTCGGAGTTTCACAGACTTTTTGCGAATCACGCTTGTGAGTAGAAACGGATCATGACCTGGCAATGCACTGTCAACAACCGGGGCTGTGGTGGAGAGAGGCTCTCATTCTGGTGTAAGAAGGATGACATTCACGATGGCCATGACAGCGGTGGTGGTGATGATGATGCTGCTGGTGATGATCGTGACGATGATCAAGGCGCAGATTGCGGTGGTGGTGGTGGTGGTGGTGGTGGTGGCGGTGGCGGCGGCGGTGGTGGCGGCGGCGGTGGTGGCGGCGGTGGCGGTGGTGGCGGTGGTGGCGGTGGTGGCGGTGACGCAGGCGGCGGCGGCAACGGCGGCGGTGGCGGTGGTGCCGGTGCCAGTGACCGGCCATGTTGTCGCCGGTCTGGCGTTCCCTTCTGAGGCACTGACCGGGGGGGAACCCCGGGACTGTATCCTTTGCACCTCCGATGTGAGACGGAGGAGATGCTAGGAGTGGGGGGTGGCCCAAAGCAGTTTGCTCCTCGTAGAAGAAAGGAGAAGAGAACAGTCGGTTCTGCCTCTGACGTGGCATGCCATAACTAAGATTACAAGCTGACATGTTCCAGAATTTTCTGCCGCCACATGCAGGACAATGATCCATTTGGCACTCCTGCGAATACAGGCTTTACGTCGTCGATGCCCCAAGTCTTGCGAGGGAGTCATCGGAGTTCGTGCCAAAGAAGATCAGGTTCAGCAGCGCGGTGTACACGTGCTTCGCAGCTCTGACAACAGCAACACTGCCGGATGCACTGGTGCTCCTCTCATTCCTTGGGTTCAGTGCTGGGACTCTGACCACTCATGCCCTTGCTTGCGATTTCCTGAGGTGCCAACATACAGCACAGAGCGGATGTATGCTTTGATCTGGACAGTCTTGCATGCCAATGGGCAATTGCTCTTGGTCGGTGAAGCATAGGGGCACGGGGAGGATACCCTTCATCTTCATGGGGTCCGTGCTCCTGAAGCAGGTGCGATCCTCAGAGACAGAGCCGGGTTAGCTTTCAGAAATGTGAGCAGAGGTAATCCTGGCTGGTGTCTATACCGACTACAGCCAGAATGCCAAGATCAATTTGATGGAAGGCAGATTGGAGGGCAACTGCCCCCAGCATCCCCCAACCCTCCAAGAGCTCGAGGCCCTAGGCACCAGCTTTGAGACCGAGCCTCTGGCATTTCTGCTGTAGGTCGCAAGCTTCGACAATCCGGCATCGAGTCCGCCTTTGCCCTGCTGCCTCCTTGCGGCAATCATTTTGCATTCCTCGTTTGACTTGAGCTTGCCCCCCGGCAGGAAGACAGCAAAGGAAGAGAAGGGCGCTGCCGTGAGGCTGCGGTCAGGCGAGCTCCATGCCCGACAGGCCCGACAGCCTGAGTGCCAGCAGGTTTAATGATTTCGAGAAGCTGGTGGACGCCATGAGTGTGCTGCTCGACGGCTCTGGCTACCGCGACTGCGGGTTCGCGACGGCGGAGCGTCTCGAGGCGCACATGTGTACTGTCACGACACCTGCACCCAGGCTCCTGGACATGTCGGGGACGAAGGTCCGCAGTTTTGGTCCTATTCTGGCATATCGAGAGTCTGCTTTGGGTCTGAGGAGATGCTGCGAGTGATCTTCCAAGCCTTGGACGACAACCTGGACGGCGTCTTGGACTGGTCCGAGTTTCAGGAGCACAGCTGCAGCCAGCTGACGCCGCGCATTCCAGTACTTGGACTTGTCTGCAGGAGATGTGCGATGTACTTCAGCTCCGAAGCTGCAGCTTGCGATAGGATAGGAAAAAGCCACGGGGGGGGAACGATCGCACCGGAACTCTGGTGCTCAGGTTTCAGTTCGACATCACGAAACGTGATGCACCGTTGAAGGAATGCCTGACCGGCACATCCTTGGGAAGGCAGCATGCCTAGCCATTTCTAGCCGTTACCTGCAGCTCTACGAGAACCGCCGAGGTGGATGAAGGAGCTCATGGAGAACGGCGCAAGAGGCTTGAATTTAGGCGAGGACAAATCCTGGTGAGGGAGTCCGGCGAGTCCTGGGCTCGCATCTGAAAATGCAGGCTACGCCTCGCGATATCCGGGCTCCGCCATGGACGTGGTCGGGGGCCTGGCCAGGCTAAGCGCCGCGGCTGCGCTCTGAGCTGCGCGGAGCGCTGTCTTCTGAGGTCATGAACAGCGTGGTCACCGCGAATGTGATTTGGGTCGTCTTCGAATCCATCATCGACATGAACAACATCAAGGACTTCAGGGACTTAAAAATCTCGCTGCTGCCTTCTGGTCTCAGCGAAACAGGAGCCGGCGTGGGTAGTCAATGTGGACCTCTCGTTCTCCCTGGTCTACATGCTTGAGGCATCCGAAGTGCCGTTTTGAGCCGATGTTGCTCCGACTTCTAAAGACCATTTGCTGGAACCAGGCTCTCCTGAAGCTGTCCTACTGGTCCTGGGAGGAGTACTGGTTCCATTCCGACAACAGGCAGGTCGCTTTGCAATCTGGCTGTCTCCACATACATAATACACTGGTGGTATTATGCAATAAAAACAAACATGTACTGATGCATGTCTTGTGAGAGGTTTGACCTGGTTACCAGCATCATCCTGAGTGGCGCCCTGCACTTGGAGACGCCTCAAACGCACGCGAAAATTCTCTTGTACTCGTATCGCCGCGGTAGGCATGTAGGACCTTGACAGGAAGGTTTCATCGACTTGCAGCTTTGGTACTGCTCAGCTTTTCCACGTCTATCCTGAGGAAAGGGTTGCGAATAGCCTCAATGTGTAGCTTTCCCAAGCCAGCCGCTGCTTCTGCAGTAATAACTCCAATCCAAGGTGGCTGTTGTCTTCCTGACGGTCCGTCACATCTCGGTTGAAACGCTTCGCAGTGCCAATGTGCCTTCTCTATCATGAGAGGGTGTAGTTCGCTTGCCGTAGCCTGCCGCCCAAGGCTGAAGCTAGACCAGGTTACCAGGTTCCTTTTGCTCGTGAGACCGCGAGGTGCTACGACTACTCCGAGTCCTGAAGGCTCTGAAGCACGTCAAAACCTACAGGCGCACAAGCATGATTGCCCGGACCCAAGCGTGAAAGCAAGAGACCCTGAGCATGAGAATCTCACACGCCGATTGTGGCCGTGTAAGGTCAGCAAGCTCTTCACCACGTGTCGCGAGGCCTAGAAGCACGGAATTCTGGCAAAGCTTCGACGCTTCGACTCCGCCCTGGAAGGTTCTGTTGCTGAACGCCTTGGTGGTGTTGCTCTGGGCCTCCATTGGAGCGATGCCCTCAGTCCTCAGAGGAACTGACAAAAAAGCGGCGCTCTTGGGGTTATCGGGCTCAGGTCGAAATCTTCGGAGGTCGCTTGGTGCCTTCGAACCCCAGGCTCTCAGAGGACCTGGGATATTTCCAGAACCACTACCAGGCAGCAGCTTTAAGACATCCGCTGCACAGCGCATATTTGTTTGGCGGGTTTCCATGGCAGGTGTTGAACTTCAACGACGTTCCGATGGGGATGATGACACTTTTCGTCGGGCCCTGTTTCATGTCTTTCTGCTCCTTCCCAGTTACATCGGTCGTTCTGCTTCACTGCTTGTCATACATGCGGAAACTTTAGAGAGCGTCGCAGAGACCTAGATGTGGACCCTGGGCGAATGGAACGATGACCTGGCGACTGCCTGCTTGGAGTCTTGGCTTGCGATCTTCTGCTTCAGGGGCTCTTGGTACTGCGTGGTGAATGCATGGGAAGGGTGGAAGAATGATCTTTGCTGTCGTCGTCGTGCAGTCAGTTGCGACTTCCATTGAAACTCCATCTTCCGGCTAGTGTACCGGCACCTGATTTCACGAAAACGCTTCTGGATGAAGGCCAAGTGCTCATCTAGCTCCCGACAGGATGCAGCAGAGATTCGCACATGATGCTCGAGCATACATAGCATACTCAACTCCCTGTCCTAGGGTTCCTTGTAACACTTGGGCATCGTCATTGCCGCATGATCTAGAACCGGCAGTGTTGCACATCCACGCTCCGCGGGCAAGTGCTAAGCCTAACAGCAATGGCTTTCTTACTGCAAAACCTTCTTCGTGTTATTCGGACGGCTCTACTATCAGGGACAAGTGTTTGTCACTCTAGCCGTTCTCCAATTCTGACTGGAGAAACTCCCTTGGATCTGCAGTGCATGCGTGAATGCCTCAAGAAGTTGGACATACGTAGCGTAAACCCCATTTGAGAAGTGCCATGGCTCCGGAAACCTTAAATATCCTTCTCTTCTGAAAGCTCGCAGAGCAGCCGAGGAGCTGGCTGAACCCCTCTCCATCGAAAAGGCGCGGGCATCGATGGAAAAGGCGGTGAGAAGGAGAGAGTCGATTCAAATTGGGCCCACAGGTGGTCATTTGGAGTTTTCTGCTGTCGTTCTACATTGCATCGCCTCTCCTTGCATACAATGCACCTTGGCTGAAGCCAGCACGTGACCGATGCATTCTTTCCGGCTGACAAGCGTCTGCAGTTCCGGGAAATACTAGCAGCTGGAAGCAGTGAATGTAGGATGTCGTAGTCTGCCTAGCTTCGCCACGCTAGTCGCATTGAATTCGGCCCCTACGAGGTTCTGTCAGCTTTCGCAATCGATGTCTATCAGAACATTGAGAGTAGCGCTGGAGCCTCGGAGTTGTAGCGAAATCCGGCCAGTGGCCCTCCCTCTGCATTGTTGATCATCTGATCTTGTCTCTTCCTTTCAAGCTGTGCCATGAATTGCTGCGTTCCGTTGCAGGTCTCCCAGGAGGAGGACACATCTCGCTTGCGACTAAAAGCAAAGTCGGTGCATTCTTCTACACCAACCTTCACCAACCTGTGCCTCTGCAGGAACACGGCCGAGCCGAATGCGAGGTCGAGCGGAACCTGTTGAAAATCCAGGTGCCAGGGTTGTGCCGGTGCTTTTATCCCCACCTGCGGCCGGGCGAAACAGTGGGGCTTTTGAGTGTATGAGACTATGAGAATCTGTGAGAAGATGTGATGCTACTGCGACTTTTTCATCGTACAACGAAATCGATGGCAGGCGGAGCTAGCAGAGGACGGCTGGGTGCTGCACATTCAGGACATTTGTCCGCAGTGCGAGGTGAACGGTCGTGCATGCGGTTTGTGGCTCAGGCCTGTGCAACTTGGTCAGCCTAGATTTCAGAGTTGGCCACCATCCTATAGCTTCTGAAGTCGTTGAGCATCGTTGAGCCTTGGGAGCATCTTCGGTTTCGAGCTTGCGACGTGAGCTGTCCAGTGCGGAGTGAATGCTTGTTTGCATAACTATGAATAACCACAAGCCTGGCTGGATGCTGAGTGCTTCTTCCGTGAGCCCCCTGATTCCAGGAGTCTGCTGATCTCGCGAAGCTCCGCGTGCATTCGTCTTTGTTCAACGTGGACTAGGCGTTGCAGGTGCAGAGCATGGCATTGACAAACCTCGAGCTGATAGGAGATGTAGCTGAAAGCCACGAGCTACCTTCCTCTTTTTCTCCAACTTGGATGCCTTGGTGTCAGGTCCACGTTGGCAGAGGCTGCAAATGTAGACGGTCAATGCAAGTTCCTACGTCAGAGGTCGGGCCTGTGCGTGAACTTGTAGAGAGATGCAGTGGGACTCCGGCAGAAGACCTCTGACTGTAAAGGAACCAAAAGGCACAGGGCACCGGCAGCCCTGATGGCGGAAACGCAGAATCTCCAGAAGCCTTCACTTACTTACCCCTTGTGCCGCAAAGCGAGCGTTCCGTCTTCGGGAGGGTTGCCCTGTGCAGCCAGGGAGGGCCAGGAAAAGCTCAGCCCAAGGCAATGGCTTCAAAACTGACCTAAGAGGAAAGCGTGTTGGTGTTGTGTCCAGCCAGCTGCTGCACATGATGACGTGCATCGAAACTCGTCATTGGCTTCTGGCTCAAGCAATGTGGCCGGTGGGAGAAAAGCTCATTTACCGAGGCGATTGCAATCACACTCAGGTCAGTACGGATACTGCGGCAGTTGTGCATTCGGCTTGAGTCTGATCGGTGCCCCGACTGTGGTCCGGCTGAGATCTTCGCTTGCTGCTTGCAGTGTCAGGCTGAGCCTGCATAGTGAGCTGGAGAGGCAGGTCTGCACCTTGCACTCAGCTCTTTTTCACGAAGCCCTTTGCATGCCTCGTGCAGCACCTGAGTTTAAAGGCAGTCTTAGCTGCCAGCTTCAGGCATCTCACCTTGCTGCTTTACCTTCTCTATGGTCCGAAATCAGGTCAGCCGATCATGTTGATACATCATATGTGGTCAACTGTCAAGATATCGCAACATCCCGACATGAACAGTCTCTCTTGCTTGGCCCACTAGACCGTCGGTTTATAGACTATGGGCGAAACAGGTTACTGTACCTTGAGCTCCGAGCGAAAGCCATTAAATTGTCACCCTTCGCCTTCGCCTTCACATCGATTTGGTCCGGGCCCGAGTCTAATACGGAAGCTCAGGAGAATGAGGAAGCTGAGAGCAAAGCACTTCGCAACCCAAGGCCGTAATGACTCGATCCACCTCTGGGGATCGAAACTCAGATCACCCGCGGGTCCTGGACCTGTGGTGTTCACAAGCCCTGCTAGTACCTTCAAGTCCGAGCGTTGCTGTGAGGCAATCTTGCTGAGCTTGCCTGAGTGCCTTTTGGGACTCCTCCAGCTGTTGGATGCGCAGGTCGCGGCAACGGAAGCTACACTGCTACAGAGTAGTTGCTCAGTTGCTATTTCATCAGCCACTGCTAGCTTCAACCTGCTAACAGGGGCTTGCACAGCTTCGTCGCTGCGCACACGTGGGCTGGGGCCCTGTGACACATCTTGGGCGTGCGCAGACTCGGAGCCTGTAAGTACACACACACACACACGGCGTCCCGAATGTCCATGGTCTGCGGGACTAGCATGGACGGCCCATGCTTGGGTCTTTCATGGACACCGAAGTCTACATGACATTGAGTCCGATCGGAGTCCTGTACAGGTCTCGCAGGTCATCTGTGTATCCCACACAATGCACATATCCATCCTCGTTGGTCACAAGTTGACCGGTCCCACCTCCGATATTTCAACCCGAGCTCCCAGCCCAGGCTGTCATGGGTCAGCGCTTGCACATGCCGCAAAGGTTTCGCTCTCAGCGACTCCGAGTCTGTCTGTGAAAGGTCTGGTGAGTGTCGACGATAACGGCGCTGCCCGCAGCATTTTTGCCTGGCTTTAGCCACTTTTTCCGCTCCTCTGGAGGAGGAGCTGTCCAAGTACGTAAAAAGAAAGGGCCATCACCACTGGCTTAGCTTGCAAAATCCGGCACGTGCGACTTGGGAGATGTAGCGAGACTCCACCACACCAAAGAGGCAAACAAAAAGAGAGCAAAGGTAGAGTCCGCAACTTTCGCAGACTCAGAGGTATCTCTAAAGGAACGCAGAAAGCTGCCCATCATGTTGGGGATCCCTGGTCTCGCTGGCGCCGGGGCAAAGGCGGCCTCGCCGGTGATGACGTTCTCCAGTGCCAATGAGATCGTGGAGATCTGGGCTTGAAGTGCAGTTTCTTCTTTTTGTTAAGCTTTCTCCCTGGGATCACGACGTGTATGTTTCCTGGGTGTCGAAGGGTTTGCGGCATGCGCAAGGATGTCACACGACCCAAGTGTCCGAGTCGGTAGTTGCGCAGTCAAGGACAAGGCTTTCAAGGTGAGCATTTTCGCAAAGCCTGAGGTAGCAGCATGCTATGGCAAGGAAGGGCTCCCGCAAGCATCGGAAGCTGAACAGTCCACAACCCCTAAGTCAACTATGTTGATCAGCATGTTCTGCAGAATCGTGTTCTGCGCGTGGCAAGGATTCCATCGTTCTGGAAGAGCCCGCGGAGCTACCGCCATTCTTTGAAAGAACTGCGCGCACCTCAAAGCTCTGCAGGCGCAACCTCTCAGTTCCTGCACCCTCCAAGGTGGCACAGACATCACACTGGCTGCATACGCCTGACTCGCCAGTCACGCAGTCCATGGAAGCTTTGCTAGTTTGATTGCACAGCATGCCAAAGCCCTCGCAGCTGGTAGCGGCAAGATGGGGCCCCTTGCCCTTGAGGAACTCCCCCAGAGCCTGGTGGTGATGAAGTTCGGCGGCACTTCCCTGGCGAGCGCTTCGCACCTGCTGCGATGTGCAAACATCGTGCGGCAGGTCGGGTGAGTGCAAGGGAGATCTCGTCGGGACCCGGTCGGAGATAGCTGGGCTGTCTATCTTGCGGCCAGCATGTCCTCACCTTGACAATCCCAGACAAGCATAACAACAGAACTGAACACCTGTCGAAAGGAGCTACAGCTATTGCCCTATCATGCTTTCCAGAACGAACCTGCACTAGCTCATAAATGGGTCAGGGGTGCCTCCGCAGTAAATCGAAGTAAGATGCTTTGGTTGCTGCTGTGAGGGCAGCTCTTCGCAGGCTCTGCCGCAGAGACCGGTGGTGGTTGCAAGCGCCATGGGCAAGACCACCAACGCACTCCTTCACGCCTCGACGTTGGCCTTGGAGACCGGCGAGGTGGACATCTCTGCGATACGGACCGATCCACTCTGAGTTGTGCAAAAACTGCTGCTCTGTGATTCATGACTACAACTTTCGATAGGACTATCCACGAGACAGCATTGAAAGAACTTGGGCAGCTTGACAGAATTCTCGATGGCTTCGGCAGGATTCACTGTAGGGTGCCTTGTGGTCTGCCCAGGGTGGAGATGCCGGCGTCCATTTCAGAGCTTCTCAACGAGCTTGAGAAGGTTCTCAGCGGGGTGGCGCTCCTGAAGGCTCGGACAGGGCTGGAGATTGCTTTAAGTGCAGAATCTCTGCTGGTGTTCTTTGCAGGAGATATCCATGCAAACGCGTGATCGAATTGTCTCTTTTGGAGAACGCCTCAGCGTTCGAACCTTTGCGGAGGCCTTCAATTCCTCAAGGAAAGATCCGCAGGACGATTTCCGAGACAAAATGTCGGTAGATGTCCCTCATCACAAAAAAGCGGACAGCAATGGGGCTTTCTTCCCAGCACTGCTTCTCTCAATTCAGAGCTCCCAGCGTTTTTGAAGCGCTTTTTGCTGGGAGGAGCCGGAGGCTCGAGCCTTGGATGCCTGGCAAGTGGGCATGAAGACCACCAGCGGTTCCGGAAGCGCCGACTCCGCCTTTTCTTCTGTGGAAATCCTCCAGGAGTCTTACCCCGTCCCTCAGCAGCAGGTGTACCCGCTATGCGGGTTTACGACGTTCTAGGAAACTGTGGGCTGTTCAGAGAGGCCATCAAGCACCACCTCGGGCCACTGAAGCTTGCGTACTCCTTCGTGCCAATTGTCACTGGCTACATTGCCAAGGCCGGCTGTGCATTGGGCCTCTGTGTAATTTCGGGTGCACTCGGTTCAATGATAGGATGCCCGTGGTGTCATCACTACCCTGGGCCGGGACGGCTCGGACCTCACCGCCACCGTGATCGGAGCCGCCGTGAAGGCCTCGGAAGTGCAGATTTGGAAAGACGTCAGCGGCGTGCAGACCACGGATCCCCGGGTGATCGCAGCGGCGAAACCCGTGGCCTGGTCTACAGAGTCTACAGAGTTAAGCATCAGTTAAGCATAAGAGTCTTCTGTGCATGGAGCTTGGGCTCTGCAGGGCCCGAAGCCACGAGGTGCAGGTCCTCACCTTCGAGGAGGCTGCGGAGCTATCGACTTTCGGCTCCAAGGTGGTGCACCCAGCGGCCGTGCTGCCGGCCTGGAGCGCTGGTGTCCCGATGAGCGTCAAAAACTCCATGGCCCCAGAGCTCCCAGGCGCCAACCCCACAGCTCTCGGGGAGGAAATTTGCATGTTCACGTCTGATTCGCACCGTCGACATTTGCAAATGCTGCTTATGCTGCTTGGTGGTGTCCGTAGTGAAGTGTTGCTGCCATCCTGATCGTTGCTGTCGGTGCTGGCAGCGGCGCCGTTTCCGACCTTATACTTTTGCTGCTTGTGTTGCTGGCGTCGTGGCAGCCAGTGGTAGTCTTTCTGGATTGTTCTCCGCTCTTGGTGAAAACTGTCGAGTTATACCCATCAGGCACCAGAATAGTGCCGGAGCTGGGTGGCAAAGACGTTCGAGAGGGCCGAGTGGCGGCCATCAGTAGCAAGAAGAACATCACCATGATCGCTCCTTGGTCAAAGGCTTTTAACTTTGCCTGTTTCAATGACGAGCTCGTGCATCGATTGCCTGGTTCTATCGGGTTTCATGGCTGAGGTAATCAAAAGCAGCTGCAAGCTTAGTGTCCATGCCAGAATGCCAGATTCTATCGCATGTGAAAAAGAACAGGTAATGGAATCATAGATCCCCAAAGGCCGAATGCTTGGACAACATGGCTTCCTGGCGCATGTCTTCCAAGTCTTCAATAAGTTTGCTGCCTCCGTGGACGTCATTGCCACCTCGGAAGTGACGGTGTCACTAACCTTGGATGAAGGCCGGCGAATCCGGACCGCGAGCTTTGTAAGCAAACGCCAGCATGAAGCCCTTGCTGGGCCGGGTATCTTTTGAAAGTCTGCCTGCAAGCAGGCTACAAGACTGTGGACCTCAGTGCGATCGAGGACGAGCTCAAGGAAGTGGCAAAGGTATCGGATGCTGCGCGAGCAGTTTATTGCTTTCGAAGAGAAACAGAGAAAAGCTCGGTTTTTCGAAAAGTCCATCGCTTTTACAACAGGTGTCGGTGCTGCACGACATGTCCATGCTGACGCTCATCACGCACAAGGAGGACTCTGTCAGCGTGCTCAAGGAGTCTTGCGCGGCCTTCGAGGAGCCTTTGGGAGCTGTCCGACAGTTTATCAGTTTACCCGTGTCTCTTCGCAACTTAGTAGTTGCGCTCTTAATGTTGCCTTCAGGAGCTTGGAATCAGCGTGGCTTGGCAAAGTTGATTGGTTTGTTTCACAGGCGAAGCGTTCTTGGCCAAGCCCGTGCTATCTAAGTTGGAGATGGTCTCACATGGAGCCTCGAATGTCAACGTCACGTTCGTGCTGCCTGGAGACCAGCTGCTCACGGCCTCGCAGCGACTGCATGAGGTCTTCTTCGAGAAGGCAGCGACGAAAACTATGAATGAAGATGTCGTTTCGTATTTCCATCAGGGATAGCTACCGCAACTAACATTCCAACAAAGCTTTGCCAGAAGCGGGTGGTGACGTCTTAACTGAATCAAGCCATTTTGGCTGCTCCTCCTTGCATTTGTTCAATTCCGGCCTGTTAGAAGCGAGAGTGCAGGGTGGATGAGACGGTCACGGCTGCGCAGCCGCTTCGGAGAACCTGCTTGCCTCGCGAGCCCTCTGTTATCCCGGCCCTTTTAATGCACCTCCAGGACCGAACCTGTCCTGTATGGCCAGTGCGGCCGCGGTCGTGTACACACTTCTCTTGTTCCGGACTTTTGTTGTAAAGTTTCTGGTAGGGTGTGAAACACTGTCGCAGCGCAAACTGGGCCATATCTGTCCAAAGCCCGACTCTTGCCGGTCTGCGCTCAAAAGCTCCTTGCACTGCGTTGCGTCAAGAGAGGGTTGCAGGCGTGTGCAGCCTCTCAAGCTTGTTGGAACCAGCATCCATCATCTACTATTGGTATCTGTTGGTCCTTTGCGTTTACTAAGCGAAAACCTCAAGGCCGCGAGCAATGGAACAAATCACTTGTTCGAAAAGTCACTCTGTTGTGGAAAGCCTAGCCCTCTCTCTGGCCCAGGTGGCAGAGCTTCGGGCTGCGATTCTGGAACTGCTCCGGGCAACGAAGCCTTGGGCCCACTTATTGCCAGCCTTTGTCATGCTGTCGGATGTTGCCCTGGCAGTGGCCGCCACGCCCCAGGTTCCCCTTCGTCCACGCTGCCTATGTGCTGGGCTTAAATGGGCATCAGCCTCGGCACCAGGGCATTGCGGAAGCTTGGAGACGGCGGGTGTTCTGTTGCCAGACGGTGTCTCTGAGATGATGAGAACGCCTTGTTCAAGCTCGTAGCACAACCCTGTATTCACTCGAAGCTTCAAGATGAAAGAAGACACGTCCTACTTGATATGTGGTGGGCCTCCAAGCGTCAGTGGACATATTGGCTGGGGATCTATGCTGCGGCAGCGAATGTTTGCAGGGATTGCGGTTGAGCTGATCAGGTCCCACTACAGCTTGGACACTGCCACAGACAGGCGGTAGAAGTCGGAGAAGACGGGGCCCAACGAAGCTCGTATCGTGTCCACCCGTGCTAGGCACTACGGCATTCCTCTCCGCTTGCCAAGGCCATGTGCATGTACATAGTCCTTGGCTTAACTGTCTCAACAGGCCAGGACTCTCCCTTTTTCCAGGTTGCTTTGCCAGCTCTTCCGCCTGGAAGTGCCCAACACCGTCGAACACTCGATGTCCAAACTTAGGCGCTTTGTCCACCACCTTTGCGCGTGTAGAGCCTCGCCAAGGATTTCACAACGATCCGCATTCAGAAGTTTGCATCCTCGGTAGCTTGGCAGCAGCTTCAAACTCACGATCTGGGGTCTGGGGGTGTCTCGGGCATGGCCCTTGTCAGGTGAACTTCAATGGCACCCACCGTACCCTCCCGGTGCCATGTGCCTACCAGCCTGTGCGTTCATGCAGACCTTCCAGTCGATATTGCAAAGTCAGATACGTGAAGCATTCACTTCTTCGATTTTCCATGCTTGGCTTGTGCGAACCATGCAAGGAATCTGCACACGCCATTCTTCCCGGAAGCAGAGGTTCGGGGCAGGGAAACGTCACACCTGAAATCCTTTCAATGTCTTAGAGCCAGGATGGTGCTTCGAGTCCTGAGCCCCATGTGGAGGAGAACCAATGTAGCTCAGGCTGGGGCTCTTCTGTCTCTTTCTCGCTTGCTTGGACGTGCTTGAGCCATCTGCCAGGTGTTCCAGCATCAGCGCTCTGTTCCAGACCCAAATCGCATCCCTTGTCTGATGCGCACATCTGCGGTCTGTCTCCAAGGTCTGACGGAAGGCTGCAAAGGCTCTGGCTTTTGCTGGCTGCTCACACTGCTCCTTTGTTCGCGGCTGGATCAGAGGTGGCCGTGGCGAGCTTTGCGAGAACCTGGAAGGAGACGAGGTCAGAAGATGTCAGAAGCAGTTTCAAAGATGGCGCCGCAACGGCTGACAGGGCCGTCGTTGGCGCCGCTTCGTGCAGCCGGCTGCTGGGCTCGGCTCTTGGGTCCGCGCGAGTCCTCGCCATCTCCGCTACCTCCCGCTCACCTGATCTCTGAAGGTCGAGCGCGCCACGCTGGATCCAGTTCCCGATGGACCGCGGATGTAGGTGCAGATGTAGGTGCTACTTGGACCCCTGGCCCTTTCTGCGAGAAGGGACCGTGCACTAGACTTCTTCTTTTGCCCAAGCAAGGACACATGGCTTCGATGGTATTGGCCAACTTCCGGTGATTACTTCGCTGGAGTGCCAAGTGAGGGTTTTCGGCGATTGCCCGTCTCGGCGTGAGCATCGTCGCAGACTCCACCAGGTCATCATTGCTACCTGCGAACCTGCAGACTTCATTCGAGCCTCGGAAGCACTTGGGCATTCAAGCGCACATCTGTGCTGGCAACCCAGTAACTGTGCTGGATGATGCACACTTGATTGTTGGTCTCAGTCCGGAAGAACAGAGAGAGGGAGTGCGCAAGAAAGAGAGAGATCTGTGCAAGGTGGGCTGCGCACACGCCANNGTCGCCAGCATTTTGTCTGCAAAGTCTCTTCGGTGTAGAGCTCTAGGTCTCGCACTACGAGCCTCCCCTACTCCCACAGCGACCGACACCTTCACCCCGAATTAGTTCCTTGACCGCCTGTCATCAACTTAGGATGCTGAAGATCGGATTCCGGCTGCCGGAGCCATGGAACGTTCTTGAAAAGGACAACTGACATGCCGTTGAATTGCTTGTCTGTGGACGTCTGTGGACTGATCCGCTGATCTCGGATCAGGCGGTGAGTTGCAGATATCATCGCACTGCTTGGGTTTGAGGAGGACGGAGAAGACGACGAGGGTCACGAGAAGGCTCCGGAAGGTGCGCAAGCAGCCGCTGTGTCGAAGCGGCCGAAGCCCTGCAACGATGGGAGGCGAGCGCCGCAGCCCGCGCCGCTTGAGCAGTGCGCGCGTGGTGGCTGCGAAGAGGCGAGGTCGTTGCCGATCTGCACTGCACTCACTGTCTGTACCTTCCGCTCATCTCTGATGGCATTGGTGTCTCGACTTCTTGAGATTTGGAGGCTTCTTGGCCTTCA